AAACCAAACCACTAAATAAAAATAAGATCTACCCAAATATAAAATTTAGGGTTCGTGAAAAATATACTATTTGCTAAAAGGGTCTAGAAAAAAAGAATGAAGCTAAACTAAAGGTACTGAATCCTAATTTTAAACAGAACCTTAATTCAGTTTGTTAAATCGAAATCAACCTAATTTTTTTTTTGTTAAACATACCTCATTAATTAATTTTAAGTCGTGCCTAGTACTCTTCCTGGTTTTGTTGGAGAAATCGAATTAAACTAAAATCAATTCCAACCCTAAATAGCCAGTCATTATTGGGACCGTCATACACTCATTTTTCTAATTTTTTGTGTGATGTGACGAGTTCGTGTAGTTAGAGAATTACTTTTTTTTTTTTTTTTTTCTTTTCTCTTACCTTGATTTCTCAGTTCATTTTTTTTTTCCCGTTTAAACACTCGCACATAATATTAATCCCTAATCACAAACCAAATGATATAATTTCATCATACAAAAAATGATATACAAGTTTCTATAACTGCAGTTTGTTATCTAGGTTTGTTACCGTTGTACAGTTTATTCAGATTTCAAAAAAAAGCAAGAGGTTGACTTATGACAGGAAAAAAAAGAGGTATTTTGGAATACCTCAAATGTAGCCGAAACATAACATATATATATATATATATATATATATATATATATATATATTTTGTCGTCCTTTCAGTCTCTTCTTCTTTTCTCATCTTCTCCTCTGCCATGACTTGAACTCATGTGGTGGAGCTTAGCCCTCTTACCAAATGAGCTACAAGATCAGGCATTGTTTCATCACCTTTAAAAGCTTAACTACATTTTGTATCCGTTCTACAAGTAAAGATAAAGTTCTTCTAGGCCCAATTAACTCTTAAAAGGCTTCTTCTTCTACACACATAAAATACTCAGGCTCGATCCTCTATTTGGGTCCGTTTTTTTTAGATCATATCAACAAATTATTATCAAGAGCTTATTTTATTACAAAGTGGTGTAATTGAAATATTTTGTAATGAAAAGTATTTATCATCCTCGTCATCGTCTTCTGAGAACTCCACAAAGACTCGATTTTTATAGACGGAGATTCAGATAACAGTGGAAGCGATTCAGGCGAGAAAATAATCTCTGATGAAAGCTCTTCTAAATCCCGAATCTTCCTTTTGTCTCTCGTCGATCTCTTCCTCACAGATCAAGAGGTCTCTTTATTTCAACGGGCTGAGTTCTTCTTCATGTCTCCGGTTTCCTTTAACCGATTGCGGCGGACGTACACGGCGGCGGAAGCTTACTGGTGGGTTGAGTATAAAGGCAGTGTTGGACTCTGCAATGATGGAGCAGTTAGGGCTTAAGGAATCTGATGTTAAGAATCCGGCTTTATCTTCTACTTATCGGGGATCGGAGATTCCGAAGCCAAACCTTACGGTTCTTGATGCTCAAGCTAGGGTTTGTACAGGGCCTACTCAGACTAGGCCTCTTAGTGAGGAACAAGCTTTTAAGGTGTTTGATACTATATTAAGATCAGGTAAACATTTTCATTTTCCTAATTTGGACTTTATCGATTGGTGAATTCATGTTTGTGTAGATTACAATTTGCTTTCTTTAGCTCAAAGCCTAAGCATTTAAAAGTTTCAAGCTTTTTATCAATTTTGCGGCTTTGTTAGAATTTGGGATAGAATGTGAAAAACCCAAGTGAGTAATCATTTGCATAGGCTTGTTGGTGCTTAGTAGCGACTTTGTTTATTGATTGGTTCGCTAGAGTTCTTGGGTTGGGACTGGTCTCATTACTTTTTTTACCGGGATGTAGCTAGAGGGGAGCTGAAAGATGAAGAACCTGTTTCAAAGGCACAACTTGGTGCATTTTTTGCGGGAATGACAATACGTGCAAATGCATTTCCTGAGGAAACTCAATGGAGCGAAGGTGAAAAGCGAGCAATGGATGTGTTTTGGCCACTCTTGGTTCGGGCATTACCTCCTGATGTGCTCTTTATTGCTGATCCTGAAGGCTCTCTTTTGGGTACGGGAAATTCTGTTGGACCAACTTTTGTTGGCAATGAAACTCGTGAGATGAGATTGGTTGGCGCGCTAAGAGAGATTTTGGCTGGAGGTCACCTGGGTTATGAGGAGGTTAAGGGTGTTTTAAGAGACGTTCTTCCGCTTGCAACGGAAGGTAGTTTGAACTCGGGAGTAAGCGAGTCATTGCTTTCGGCGTTTTTGATTGGGCAACGTATGAACAGAGAAACAGATCGCGAGCTTAAAGCTTACTGCCTTGCATTCGATGACGAACATGGTAAAAAACTCTTCTTATATGGAGTGAATTTTAGAGAATATAATAGTAATTCCAGGCAGGGATAAAAACTTCTGCCTTGAGTTAACGTATCTTCTACTAATTTCAGGGGCTCCTCCAGTTGCTGATGTCAAATCCTTAACCCATTATGGCGAGCCTTATGATGGGAATACTCGTTTCTTTCGAAGCACTCTGTTTGTGGCTACAGTTAGATCTTGCTATGGTGAATCTTCATTGCTCCATGGCGTTGAATGGATGCCTCCAAAGGTATCTAACAAAACTGAATCGTTTTCAGTAATACCTGTTTCCGAGAGATGATGATACTTTCAAGGATTTGTTTTAGATTTCTTTTCATTAACTTTCCAATTCTTCAGGGGGGTGTGACTGAGGAACAAATGCTGAAGTTTATGGGAGCAAATACACACTTGTCTGTTCAGCAGGCAAAAGAACTCATCGAGGTGCCTACAATAATTTAAACTAATGTCCTACAGGTTTTCTCTATCTTTCTCCTGCCAGCCTATATCTATGACTTAGGCGCTCTATAAAATTTTCTTTCATTCTTCCAGGATGAGAAGGCTGGATTTGCATATCTCAGTCTACGGGAAGCTCGTCCGTCTTTGTAAGAAATCTGAGAAACATTTGTTTGAGTCATTTCTTTGTTTTTTTTTTAAATCTTGGGATATGCTAATGCATACACCCTTATCCTGTTCTTCCATAAACAATTTGGTTGTAAAGAAAATAACTGGCCGTATTGATATTTTTCTTTGGTATTTGCAGATATTCGCTAATCGGAATGAGGGAGCATATAAAGAAACGCCCTCCTCTGGCAACAACGGAGAAAGTTCAGCAATTTGTGAGGGTAAGGGATCTATCACATGTCACCGCCTTATATAGCTCATGATGACTAAGACAATATTTAGGAGAAAAAACATCAGAGGGCTTGAGGAAAGTGTCTGTATGCAGCATTTTATGGACCGTTTTTCGTTGCAGGCGACAGGGAAGGAAGCTGTTGTGGCTGGGTTTTACCACGAAGGCTACGAAGAGCCTCTCTTAATGCTTATGAGACGAAGAGGTGTCCATTCTGGTTTGGTGGTTAAGGTTGACTCTCTCTTTTGCCATCAAATATTTACTGATGCCCTATGAGCTACTATGCTTTTGGAACTTAGAATTAGAATGTTAGAAACTCGTTCTATTAGTTTTAATATGAATTTGAACTTTTAACATTGAAATGTTCCGGTATGATTTTAAGGGAGTTTATAAGGTTTCTCTTGGTAATACAGGGCGAGGAGGGGGCCCTCTCAATGACAACACGGGTGCGAGCTGCAAGTGCATCAAAAGGGTTTCCAGTTAACTACTGTTCTGGATTTCGTTCATCGAGTTCGGACACGGCTCTAGAAGCTGACGGTAAAATAACTATCCTAGTTTTCAAACTAGAATCTACTGCTTGAATATATGAATCTAGTCGAAACAGGGTTGAAAATAATTTCATATGCGCAAATTGGTGTTGTAGAAAATCGGCTTGTAGGTGGTAGGGTCCATAGTCTTATAAACTATCAGCTATTTTCGTATTTGACTTGCATGGAGTCTTGATGTATCATCTTGGTGATTGAAGTTTTTTGGTGGATTGGCCTTTCTAGATTGCTAATTCAAAGCTGTCATTTGTTTAGATTGGTCCTTATACTAACTGATAATCTGCCTTATGCCTTGGTGCTAGTATTTTTCTTGGGTTATATCAATCTAGTTTCCGGTCCTATAACTAATGGCTAAAATAACTTCTGGAATTGTAGGGGTCTCGCGTCAGAGTTTCAATCTTGAGGTGGATGCAAGAAACTATGGGTTTGAACCAACCGAGACTCCACGAACTGATCGTTCGGTAAAACTTCCAAAAGCCATTCGTTTCACAATGTTGGGGACAATGTTTGAAAAAGGAAAACTTTAGTCATATTTTTGTTGAATTGATAGGTGTCAAAGAACATAGAGCTGGGATTGGCAGCACTTCGTGGTGAGAAAGGCGCGGCTTATGATAGAATCGTCCTAAATGCTGGGATAGTGGATCATTTGTTGGGAAGTGAAGGTGCAGAGGATGTAGCTGTGGCAATGGAGAGAGCAAAGGAAGCTATTGACAGTGGAAAGGCTTTAAAGAAACTTTTGAATTACATAGAGATCTCACGGAAGATGAAATAGTTCCAACAATCTTGGAGAGTCTGACAAATCATACACGGAATAGAGAGAAGCATATACACTTTTCTGATTCTTTTTAATTTTCGTTTTGTGTATTGTTGTTGAAACTTGAGTGTTTTTTACAGAGTGGGACACAACACAATGCTTGTGGGGCTTTCTATGGATGTCTAGTGAATCATGTGTACAGAGTCTGGAGAACAAAAGTTGGTTTGTTTCTAATGTGTTTATAATTATGCACTTAATCATCTTGTACATTCATGTTACTTAATTCCGATGGGGACACTCTTTGTCTCGAGGACAATGGGAAACACACAAACGAGTCTGTGTCCAATGAATGACGTTGAAGCCGAAGGACGTGTAATCTAAACAACAATTCTTCATTTGGGCCTTAACTAAACCATCAGCCCATTAACCCTCTTATTACCAAAACACTTCAAGCCCAACTTCTTTCCTTTTTGTTGACTTTCCGTCTTTCTCTGTCGTTGACTTCTTCTTCTTGTTCGTCGTGCTTCTTCTCTTTTCGCAGTCACTTATTCCGACAAAAACCTCCGATTAGACCGTCGGAATGGAATCACGGGTTTTGTTCTCGAGTCAATTCAACTTCCCGGTGAATTCACCGTTGAAGAACCGTGAAACCTCGATTGCTCCGTTCACACCTCCCCGGAATGTTCTCTCCTTGTCTTTCCGAAGTCCCGCAGATAGATTTGCGGTGAGAATCGGACCGCTTGTAAAAGCTGTTTCGTTTGCTTCAAAGATAGTAGCGGAGGTCGATGATGGTTCGAGAGACGAACCAAAAAGGAGGAAGCTTGTTGTGTTTGTGTCGGGAGGTGGTTCGAATTTCAGGAAGATTCATGAGGGATGCAGTGATGGTTCTGTTAATGGGGATGTTGTATTGTTGGTCACTAACAAAAAAGGTATCACCTTTCTTCTTCAAGTTATTAATTTTGGTCTTCTTCTAGTTTATGTGTGTGTTGGTCCCTAGAGTCAATGAATAAGAAAACAACTGATGATTAAATAGTGGAATTTGAATAGCTCTGTTTTCTGTAATGTGAATTGATTCGGAGTTTCGATTTTGGTATTTTTGAAAACCCTGCAATACTTACTTGCTTAAGTTCATTAATTTAGATTGTGGAGGTGCTGAGTATGCAAGAAGTAACGGCATTCCTCTTTTAGTATTCCCTAAAGCGAAACGAGAACCATCCGATGGACTCTCTCCTTCAGAGCTTGTAGATGTACTTAGGTTAGCATCGTGAATGTGTTACCGCTTTGTTGAAACTTGAAAGTTCACTATATGTCTCTTAACATTTGCTTGATGAACAGAAAATATGATGTAGACTTTGTTCTTTTAGCTGGATATTTGAAACTTATACCGGTCGAGCTGGTCCAAGCATTTCCTAAACGGATTCTAAATATTCATCCTGCTCTTCTTCCGGCTTTCGGAGGCAAAGGTCTTTATGGTATAAGAGTGCATAAAGCTGTTATAGAATCGGGAGCTAGGTAATACAATACAATGTTACGGATGTGTACTTTGTACTTTTTTTTTTGTTTTTAAATTTTATGTTGCGTAAGAAAACAAGAACGGTTTTTCTTTCTGTAGATATTCAGGTCCGACAATTCACTTTGTCGATGAGGAGTACGACACAGGGCGGATACTTGCTCAAAGTGCAGTCCGAGTGATTGCTAATGATACACCAGAAGAGTTGGCCGAAAGAGTTCTTCATGAGGTACTACTAAAAGATACTTTTGAACATTTCATTTCACAGTTCAGAAGATTTCATTTGCTTCTTTTCTTTTGTCCATTTTGGGCTTAGGAACACAAACTCTATGTCGAGGTGGTGGCTGCGATTTGCGAAGAGCGGATTAAATGGAGAGAAGACGGTGTCCCTCTCATTCAGAGCAAAGAAAACCCTGACGAGTACTATTAGATCCTCAACAAATGAAGTTACTCATTGGATGTCAGATTAGTCACATTTTCAAATCAAAGTGTTTCAACCTAGGTTATGTAGAAGAAGTTTTCTTGCCCAAAAAGTATGGATTGAGAAATGTTTCTGATGCTAAATTTTGTTTCCTAGAGACTAGAGTGTTTTATTACCATGAAGTTTGGTTTCATCTATAAGAAGGTGCCTGCCTGTATGCAGACTTCATGGACTGTTTTTCACTGCAAGCGACAGGGAAGGAAGCCATTTTTGATTTCTGCTTTGTTGTTGTTAGAAAAAGAAAAAAAAGAGAAAACGTAAGTCATACTTTTGTTGAATGAACAGGTGTCAAAGAACATAGAGCTGGGGTTGGCAGCGCTTCGTGGTGAGAAAGGCGCAACTTATGATAGAATCGTGCTAAATGCTGGGATAGTGGATCATTTGTTGGGAAGTGAAGGTGCAGAGGATGTAGCTGTGGCAATGGAGAGAGCAAAGGAAGCTATTGACAGTGGGAAGGCTTTAAAGAAACTTTTGAATTACATAGAGATCTCACGGAAGATGAAATAGTTCAAAGAGTCTGATAAATCATACACGGAATAGAGAAAAGCATACACCGTTCTGATTCTTTTTGGTTTTCGCTTTGTGTATTGTTGTTGAAACTTGAGTGTGTTTTTTACAGAGTGGACACACAACACAATGCTTGTGGGGCTTTCTATGGATGTCTAGTGAATCATGTGTACAGAGTCTGGAGAACAGAAGTTGGTTTATTTCTAATGTGTTTATGATTTATGATTGTGTCCCTTAATAATATTGCACATTCGTGTTACTTAATTAGTCTCGAAGACATTGAGAAAGAAACAAACGAGTCTGTGTCCGGAGAACGATATTGAAGCTAAAAGGCAAGGGCCGTGGGACGATTTTATAGGTTGTGTTGCAGAAAATCAGAAACTGTTTTGCAGAAGAAAAAAAAACAGAGTCCATACAACAAAGTCACTCTCATTTTTTTTTGTAGCAAAAAGCTAGAAATGACTTTTGGTTATTGATAAAAAACTTCTTTTTGCCGATTCAAGTGGCTCAGCTGCTTCGTCTTTTTGTGTTCTCCCTATGCCACATGATCTGATCAGACGAGTGTCCAAATTCACGTCAGACACACAATTGTAATCTCTCTGCCGAAGATTTTATTTTATATCATATAAAACACTAATGTAATAAGCACCCACTAGTCTTTTCTTTCTTGCCCTGCTCCTCTGGAACGTGGCTTTGGAGGTAACGAAACTGAGTCGTGATTGATCAAGAATGATAAAATTTCTTGTAGTTCTTGTCCGATTTCCAAAACCCATTTCAAAAGGCGTCGCCTTTTCTTTTATCTAGTTTGAGGTTGTTCTGTAGATTTTGAGTGATTTTGAGTTGTGGGGTTCGTTCACTGTCTACGTGGGTCTATACTCAAATCTAGTGGGTTGGTGATAATTGTTTTAGCTGTGTTCACTGTTGTTTTATGGGAATAAGTTGATGGTAAGTTCTCTAGTTATAGATTTGAAAAAACCAATCTTTATGATCGACTCAACAAGTCAAATCTCGTTGTGTTATGTGAAATCTCTAGTAGTGATTCAAACCAAGCAAGAAAGGGTTTAGCTGCACTTAACTGTTTGATTAGTCTTGTTATGTCCCTTCTCGTGATCAAACTCCGTATTATACACCTGCTTATTTTGGTTTGTAGAGAGGAAGTGAGGAGTTATTTTGTTTTTAGCTTTGGAAAGTAAAATCCTGGAAATGTCTCTCAAGGCATTAGACTACGAGTCCCTGAATGAAAACGTGAAGAATTGTCAGTATGCAGTCAGAGGTGAACTTTATCTTCGTGCTTCTGAGCTTCAGAAAGAAGGCAAAAAGGTAACAACTTTGTTATGCGTTTGCAAAGCTTCATTGTCTTTGGTTTTCTAACTTTTTTGAATGTTTTACAGATTATTTTCACAAATGTTGGAAACCCTCATGCTTTAGGACAAAAGCCTCTGACTTTTCCTCGTCAGGTATGTAATATGCAATCCTCCTGTTTTTTGACGATAGATCTTGTTCGATGTATAGATTTAAGCCTAAACAGATTGAAAACCAATGCAGGTGGTTGCTTTATGCCAAGCACCATTTCTGCTAGATGATCCAAATATTGGTATGATATTCCCAGCAGATGCTATTGCAAGAGCTAAGCATTATCTTTCCTTGACTTCTGGTGGTCTTGGTATGTCTTATTATTAGAGAACTCAGATCATGGTTTATATTGGCTTAGGCTTATACCAATAGAAAACATTTTTTTGCTTTCTTTCTTAATCAGGTGCTTACAGTGACTCAAGAGGTATTCCGGGAGTTCGGAAAGAAGTTGCTGAGTTCATTGAAAGGCGTGATGGATATCCAAGGTGATTGCTTCATGTTGATTATTTATTCTATGAAATAGATTTGTTGTAAAGAAACACTACTCTGAGGCCTTTTGCTCTTATCTTCAAATTACAGCGACCCAGAACTTATATTTCTAACTGATGGAGCTAGCAAAGGTGTGATGCAAATCTTGAATTGTGTCATACGCGGTCAGAAAGATGGAGTAATGAACCTTAACTCGCTTGTTCCTTTATCTAAAGTTTTTCTGTACATGGATACATGAGCCATTTTGTTTGGTTTTTATCACGAATTGGCTCGTTTCAATTTGGCGTAATATCCGACCCTGTTGAAGATTTACTCTAGAGGAGATAATTAGGCATAGCAAAATGGCTGTATGTAATGATCCCACATCAACTGTATATCTGATTGGTTGATTTGTTAAAATTCAGATTTGTGGCATATGGTATAGGTTTAGGCTTGGTTTATAGTAGCATCTGGGTCACAAGTTTTATTGGTTGGCAGATTCTGGTTCCAGTTCCGCAGTATCCACTCTACTCGGCTACTATATCTCTGTTAGGTGGTACTCTTGTTCCTTACTATCTTGAAGAGTCTGAAAACTGGGGACTTGATGTTAACAACCTTCGCCAATCTGTTGCTCAGGCTCGCTCTCAAGGAATAACAGTTAATATTCTTCCACTCTTTTTCTCGAAACTGTTGATGCGGAGTCTTTTTTATGACATCTTACTTCTCTGCTCTAATTTCTGTTTTTTCACATATGGTTAATGCAGGTAAGGGCAATGGTGATTATTAACCCCGGAAACCCAACTGGCCAGTGTCTTAGCGAATCTAACTTAAGAGAGATATTGCGGTTCTGTTGTGATGAGAGATTGGTTCTTCTCGGAGACGAAGTGTATCAGCAAAACATATACCAAGATGAGCGTCCCTTTATCAGCTCCAAGAAGGTAAATTACTTTGTCTTTCGTTGGTACCTTTAACTCCTTTGCTTCAATTAGATCAACCTATACATTTGCTTTGTGATCTTCGGTCTCTGGAATGATCCTTCATTTTATTATGAATGTTGTAAAGGTTTTGATGGATATGGGAGCACCGTTCAGCAAGGAAGTTCAGCTTATATCTTTTCACACTGTTTCTAAAGGATATTGGGGCGAATGTGGGCAACGAGGTGGTTACTTTGAGATGACAAATATCCCTCCCAGGGTTTGTACCTGTCCGTCTTTTCTTTTACCCGTGATTTTGGTAATTGCAAGACTTTCTTAACTACTGGTAATGCAGACCGTTGAGGAGATTTACAAGGTTGCCTCTATAGCTCTCAGTCCCAACGTCTCTGCACAGATATTCGTAAGCAAGCCTTTCTTAGCTACTTAGCAACTGTTGGTTACAGAATGATTTCACCGCTGAACCCGATGAATTTTGTTTGTGCAGATGGGTTTAATGGTTAGCCCACCAAAGCCTGGAGACATTTCTTATGACCAATTCATTCGTGAAAGGTATATATAGTTATACATTACACTCTAAATAAACACGCTTTGATGAAGGATCAAGATCTCATAACTTCACTGGAACTTTATTAACAGCAAGGGAATTCTGGAATCACTGAGAAGAAGAGCAAGGATGATGACTGATGGATTCAACAGCTGCAAAAACGTCGTCTGCAATTTCACAGAAGGTGCTATGTATTCGTTCCCGCAAATAAAGTTACCGTCGAAAGCAATCCAAGCAGCAAAACAAGCCGGAAAAGTCCCTGACGTGTTCTACTGCCTTAAGCTCTTAGAAGCCACAGGAATCTCCACAGTTCCAGGCTCTGGATTTGGACAAAAAGAAGGGTAAAATAAACCTCTTGTGACCTAAACACAACAGTATCATGTTCTTGCAGCAAGCTCATTTTTGTCTGTTTGTTTCAGGGTGTTTCATTTAAGGACAACAATTCTGCCTGCAGAAGAAGAAATGCCAGAGATTATGGACAGTTTCAAAAAGTTCAATGATGAGTTCATGTCTCAGTACGGTGATAACTTTGTTTACTCCAGAATGTGAAAAGAAAAGACTCAGAGTCAGAGATCACTTCTTCTTCTTCTTCTTTCACGACATTATTATTGTCTATTCACACTCTTTAAAAGCTATAAGTACTGGTCCTACTCTCTGTAAAACTCTTCTTGTGCTCTTTAAAAACCTTTGTATCTATTGCTACAAAGCCACACACAAACTCTAATGTTCAATTATACGGTAAATGATTTATTTAATTATTAGGTAGACAACATTTATTTTACGGGATTATTGTCTAAAATGCCATTTTTTGAGAAAAACTTATGAAAATGCCATTTTTTGAATAGTTTACGGATTTTGTCCTTTTTTAACACTTAAAAATGTACGTATTTTGTGATTTTTTTTGTAAAAATACGTACTTTATACCAAATACTAAACCCTAAGAACAAATGGAACCGACTAAACCCAAACATAACGAGTGAAACGCATGTTAAATCATATTTTTGAAGCATGAAAAAGGACAAAATCCATAAACTATTCAAAAAAGGGCAAAATCCACAAATGCCACTATAAAAAAGGGCAAAATCTGTAATTAATTCTTTATTTTATAGGAAAATATTTTTTAGTCCAATAAATTCCTACCATTAATACTGTATATAGTTATATACTTTCTCCGCCGTCAATATTTTTTTATGTTTTAAAAAAAAGAAGAGATAAAATTAAATAAAGTATAGCACTTATCCAATATTTGATTAAATAAAGTTGTAGGCGAGTATAAATAATAATCAAATATTCCAAACCTTTTTCTTCTTTGCCTCCTCCTCTCGGAATTTTCGCAGCTTCAATCACAGAAGAGTAAGAGAAAGCCCTAAACTCAAATCTTCTCTTCTTTTTCCTTTTCCGAGAAAAAGTTTTATGAATTTTTACTTATTTACCGAGAAAACACAAGAAAAAACAACCTTTCCCGCCTAAAAGTTTCCTAAAAACAATTTTCTTATATATATAATCAGTTGAATATTCAACAACCCTTTTGTTTGTCTTCGTTTAGGTCTCCTTGTTGAATTTTCTTGGATCAAAGTCATGGATTTGCCGGAAAAGTCGCTTAAAGTAACGATCCCGGTGAAAGCTCCGGTGAGTTCAAAGCCAGAGAAAGAAGAAAAAGAAGAAAAGGAAAAAGAGGAAGAAGATGGCTTCACAACACCAAAGGGGGAGGAATTTAGAATTCCGCCGCAACTTGAGTGTCCTCCGGCACCGGGGCAACGCGTCTACCGGAAAAAGATCGACAAACACCGCAAAAAAGCCGCCGGGCAAAGGATTATCTCCTTTAACGTTAACGTTCAGGATTTGGATACTTTCTTCGCAAGAACACAAAACGTTGCAGATGTTAATTCCTTATTAACTAAATAATTTGCAGGGTTTTTCTTTAGTTTTTTTATTTTAACTATCTTAGTAACGTAGGATTTTTATCTTCTCCTTTTTTTTTTTTTGTATAAGTTTTGGTAGAATTAGTATTAAATTTCTTTGATATTTTTTTGATGGATCATGTGTGATATTATTACTGGGATAATTGCATGAAAGTAAGACTTATTTTAAGCATAAATCTGACTATGAATGTTCTTGTCAAATATATGATTCAGGGCCAAACAATATTTTAAAATTAGCTAACAAAAAAAGTCAAGAATAAAGTTCATAATTAGTGAATGGACAAATCTTAGCTTGAATCATTTTATTCTTCCTACTTTGGTCAGCTACCGGTAACCGGATAGAAACGTTTGAATCGGCTTTTAATTTTTTTCTCAATGTATCAAATATTTGTGGAAAAATCAAACTTGGAAAAGTTGACCCACTCGGCCACACAACAAAACCACTGTCCACTGAGTCTAAATAGAGGTCAATATCATGTTTGGTAATGGTAAGATAATTGAATAGGCCGTGTCTAGCTGAATGGAATCCTATGCAATAACAACGTCAACAGTTTCATTCTCTTATTTCATAGGAGATTATATCTGTTCTTGACTTTTTTTTTTGGAGATTTTGAAGTCATATTTTCCAGAGTAATAATAGTATCATGCAAGTAAAAGAGTCAAATTCTCAATTTTAGGCAATAGGAAACCTTTAGACAATCACATTCACATGTTCTTGTTCTTTTGTAGCAACAACTTTTTATGCAAATTAGTTAATCATACCAGTTTGTTACTAGTTGCCCTACTATTCATACCAAATTTGACACTCTCCTATAAATATTTGTATTCTCTGCTGTTTGGATAAATCACTGTGCACTATGTATAATTTATCATAAGCAACTTATTTAAGTTTAGTTTACATGAATCGTATAGCACCAAATAATTCATACTTAAAAAACATTTTTTTTTTGGTGAAACTATAAGCAACATTTCAAAAATATTAATATATAAAAGAGAAATTCCTAAAAATGGCCCTAAAACAAGTTTTATTGACAATAATAGCACACACTCCATAAACTTCCAAAAATAGCACTAGTTAACTTACTATTAGTGTTTTTGTTCTAAAAATTTTATCACTAGCTTTTTTTTTCAATAATACCACAACTTTTATATAAAAGCTATTCAACAAAATAAATTAGAAATAAATTTAAAATATTATATTTGAGTTCTCTATTTCTAATTTAGGGTATATATTTCTACCATTTAAAAGAGATTTTGATTCATTTTAATATTAGTATATGGTATTATATTTGGGTTCCCTATTTCCAATTTAGGGTATATATTTTCACCATTTAAAAGAGATTTTTATTTTAATATTAGTTTGTGGTATTATATTTGGGTTCCCTATTTCCAAATTAGGGTATATATTTCCACTATTTAAAACAATTTTGATTCAATTTAATATTAGATTAGTGTTTGCTCTCTTTTTTATTTTCTATCTTATATTTTCATTAAGTTTAATTGAAGTTTATGGTGCTATTTGTGGAACTTTTCAAATGAGGTGCTATTTTTGGAAAAAACAACTTTTTTGGGGCTATTTGTGTCAATCTCCCTATATAAAAGGTATACAAGAGATTACAGGCCCAGCCCAAAAACAAATATTAATGCTTCGTATTTGTTATCTTGGTCTGGTGGTCCACTCATTACGAAATTTCTTGGCGGTTTAAGTATTCCACATGTCACACTGTAAGATCATAGATTAACTGTCTCTCATCACATAGCCGTCCGATCTTCGTAACCACATAACTAAAAAGAAAAAGAAAAAAAAAACAAATTAAAATTACTCGGCACATACGCGGAAAAAGAAAAGAAAAAGATAAAAAAAAAAAAAAAAGCGAATCGTTTTACTTACCTCTCTTTGAAACCGACGGTGGTCTTTTTCGCCGGAGAAGATGAAGCAGAGAACCTGGCCTTGTAGATCTGAAGGATCTCGATTCACCTCCTTATCGTTTTTGAAACCTCAAGAAAAGGAAAAACGCAGTAGAATTTCTTCAATCAACAGAGCAACGGCGAAGTCAAGCACAATCTCAAGTTCTTCTTCTTCTTCTTCATCTCCTCTATCGAATGATGTTAGTGGAGATTTCTCGATGCTTCCGTATGATATACTGATGAAGATCGCTGCACCGTTTAGTCATCCGAATCTTCAAGCGGCGTCGTCGGTATGTAAATCGTGGAGAGACGCGCTAAAGCCGTTGAGAGAGTCGATGTTGTTGCTTCGGTGGGGGAAGAAGTTCAAACACGGAAGAGGAGGTGTGCGAGCGAATCTCGATAAGGCTCTTGATTCGTTTCTGAAAGGAGCTGCGCGTGGATCCACGCTCGCTATGGTTGATGCTGGGCTTGTGTATTGGGAAACAGGAGAGAAGGAGAAAGCGATGAGTCTGTATCGGAGAGCTGCAGAGCTTGGTGATGCTGTTGGTCAATGTAATTTAGGGATTTGTTATCTTCAAGGTAAAAACCTAAATTCTCATAGCTGTGATGGATTTGATTTGCAATTTGAGTTTGTTCAGGATTGATAATGTCTTGATTGTGGTATATAGAATTTGGATTGAGCTAATGGATTGGTGAAGCATTTTCTGAGCAATTGCTTGCTTCTATATGCAGTTCAACCTTCAAATCTGAAGGAAGCGATGAAATGGTTGAAGCAATCTGCTGAGAATGGTTATGTTCGAGCACAGTATCAGTTAGCTCTTTGTTTACATCAAGGCCGGGTCGTGAAAACCAATCTGCTAGAAGCTGTATGTGCCTTCTTCATCTGATTCTTTCTTTATGCTTTTAGTTGAGATTCTATAGAATTTGTATTGTAATCATGGGGTGAGTGATGCCGTAATCTAGATTGAAAGTTGCATCTTTGTATGTAGTCCTTTATATTAATGGCTGCACTCTTGGTGGAAACTGATAATGCTATGTTTAGACATGTGCTTAGTTCATTTGTGGAAGCTGATAATGCTATGTTTGGACATATGTTTAGGTCATTTGTGGAAATGTCCAGTTTCTGTCTTTTTCATCTTTCTAAAATCAGTTAAGTTTGTATCAATATAATGATTGGATTTTTTCTCTTTTTGACAGAGTAAATGGTACCTAAAGGCAGCAGAAGGTGGGTATGTACGAGCTATGTATAACATTTCGCTTTGTTATTCGGTTGGAGAAGGCTTACCCCAAAACCGCAAGCTAGCAAGAAAATGGATGAAACGAGCAGCTGATCACGGCCACTGTAAAGCTCAGTTTGAACACGGCCTTGCTCTGTTTTCTGTAAGCACCTCAATTCAACTAAGCTTGTGAGAGTTTACTTCTCTTAGTATAGAGATATTAAAGAACATGAGGAATATGAAATGTATCGACTTATGTATATCCAGAAACAAACATATTACACAATGAGTTGATTCGATTATAGGTTATGAGAAGAGTTTGATATGGAACTAATGAATGTAATGGGATAATGCAGGAAGGGGCGATGCTGAAATCAATACTTTACTTAGAACTCGCTGAACGTGGTGGCGAAGCAGCTGCTACTCACATCAAGGAAGTTATACACCAACAGCTTTCTGCAACTTCTCGTGGTCATGTCATAAACCAAGCCAATAACTGGCGTCCTCTACCAGCTACTCGCTGACTCCTATCAATTATTACAGTGAGGTCAAAGTGATTGGCTCGTTACAGGTCCATAACTTAAATTCCAATTTGGCCATGTTTCAATGACAAAACCTTATTTCAGATTTAGACTTGTATAGTTCACACTCATGTTTTAATCCAAATGGTGCGACTGATACATGAATCTACAAACTCTGAAGTCACAAACCTTCTCACTAACCCAACATCAACACCAAAAATGTAAATGATCATTGGAGGATGTAAATCAAAGAACTTGATTTTGGCAAAGAGAGAAGAAGTGAACAAATTTAACAGTATCTTTTCTGTGGAAACGAGCACCACTAACCACCGAACTTCTTAGGCTCACATCTTGGATCTGCAACAAGTGTCCAATCGTATCTAGCCACAATATCCCTAATTTCTAATCTCTCTTTCTTCGACTGTTTTTCCACGTATTTCTGATAGAAATACCCTTTGCAATATTTTGATGGATTGCATAAACTTGTTAAGTGTGACCGGCTCAACGGTGTAATCCAGGGAGGGGAAAATTGGATTGAACAGGTTGAACCAGAGGATCTCCGGCTGACTTAGCTAAATTGGACTTCCGTCCAGATTAATTAAATCTGATCCGAATGTGTAATAGAATACTTAAAATGACAGTTTGTTTAGATTTTATTTTTTAGTTTGGAACTAATCGAATGGTTCATTGTGTAGTGCACACATATGAATATTTCAACAGACAAACTAATATGAAAAATATGCAAAGTTGCAAACTAAGCTTATCACTATTTCATTCCATAAGACTTTCTATGATATGGTTGAACATCACAACAAAATAATTTTTTGTTTCCCAAATATATGTTCATTTTCAAAGTTCTATTGTGAGTTTTGAAATGCATTTCCACTATCTTATAGGAGTACATTACTATGCAAAATCACATTCTAATTATTTCGACTATACATAAAACTAATAAAATCCTGCATCACCATTATCATTCGAACTTGATAAATGGAAAGATGATGGTGAAAAATATTTAGTGACCATTTCGAAAATCCAATTAAAAATTCAACAAAAACAATGCATATGTATGGAAGAAACAATCACAACAAGTTAAAGATCCTGAAGAATGATCATGCCAGAAAATTAAATCAGTAAACGCAATTCTAAGTCTACCAAAATTACGAAACCACAAATGTCAAAACCAAATCTGAATTTGGAATAACACCATTAATAAAAGATCCAGCAAGAGGTTCATAAACTACTAACTTTAAAGAGATCTCTCTCTTCTCAAAATCCAAAAGACAACAAAAGATAACAAAACTCCAAAGAAGATTCCAAAAAAAAAGAGTCAAGCAAATAAAATTCACCTAACTTAGGCAGTAAGCACAACAGCACCACCAGCTTCCTTAATCTTCTTCTCAGCAGTCTTCGAGATAAGCTTCGCCTTCACAACGAACGGCTTGTTCTCAGGCAAATGACCTTTCCCCAAAACCTTGAAGAAACCATGTTGCGTCACATCGATCAAAGGAACATTATCTTTGGTTGATTTCGCCTTCACATCTTCAGGGACGAGTGACCAAAGCTTGTCGAGGTTAACGATTGGGCAGAAGAACTTGTTCCTCAGCTTGTGGAAATACCTCATACCAACTTTACCAAAGTAACCTGGATGGTACTTGTCGAAGAGGATCCTGTGGTGATGCATACCTCCGGCGTTACCACGACCTCCGGGATGCTTACGGTGCTTACCGATACGACCATGTCCGGCGCTGACGTGACCTCTCTTCTTCCTGTTCTTCTTGAATCTCGTTGTCATTTTCGCCGATCTGCTACACTCTTCTCTTTGCGGCTAGGGTTTCTTAAGATATCACTGAGTTTATAAAGACGATGGGATTTTTACGTTTCCTATTTTGCCCTCTAGGGTTTACAAAATTTATCATTGGGCTGTAAAGTGAGATGGGCCTATGTCCATTTAGAATATTACCGAAAAACTGACAACCCAAAGAAATCAAACCGAAATCAAACCGGTTTACCCCACATTTATGGAGCCTTGAAAACGACATCGTAGAGGGGGAAGAGAGATGTACCACAACCACATGATAGAACTCCACGCGCATTTCTCACGCGCCGGTGTTGTTGTTACCATGTGGTTCATGCCTTCGGTAGTGGATCTCCGTGGGTTCCACCTCGGTTTGATTTGATTGACACGATTCTTCCTTACGTGACGTTTTCTTCTTCAATTTTCGAAACGACGCGTTTCATTTCTTCTTCTGCATTTCATATGAACCAAGGAATAAGCTTGAAGCCGTGACTCGTGGAAGCTTCTTCATCTTTAGTCCGCCGTTCACAAATGGCTCTGCAAGTACTCGGCTGCACGAGCCGCCCAATCCGCGTCTCCCTTCACCGGTGTTCTGTTATCTCTACTAGTGACAATATCAGAAGGAAGAATCTCCGATTTGTTAGAAACCCGAGATTGTCGTTTTCTCTTCAATCTTCAAGTAGAAATTACCGGTTACCTTCGATTAATTGCTCGACGGTGAATGGAGCAGTAGCGGAAACTGCGGAATATTACGAAGGAGAAGGAGATAACGTTTCAGTTCCTGAGAAAATTAGGCAATGTATTGATTTCATCCGGACGATTTTACCAGGTGGAAGCTGGTGGAGTTTCTCCGATGAGGTTGATGGTAGGTTCATTGCGAAGCCTGTTACTGTTTGGCGTGCTTTAAGTCGGATGTGGGAGCTTGTGGCTGAGGATCGTTGGGTTATCTTCGCTGCGTTTTCCACTCTTATCGTAGCCGCGGTGCGTGGTTCTTCTCCTTATGTTGGTTGTTGTGAATGGTTTGAGTGTGTATAGTGTTCTAGTTCGAGTAATAGGTAACACTTTCTTGGTTATGTATTGAAGATAGTGTTATAGAATCATTCTGAATCTCTGCTTAGATATTGTTAGTTCTAATCAGGAATCAGATTCTTCCTTTTCTTATACGTTTTTTTGTCTACTTGTTTACAGCTTTCAGAGATAACTATTCCGCATTTTTTAACTGCTTCGATCTTCTCGGCACAAAGTGGAGATATCGCTGTGTTTCGTCGAAATGTCAAGCTCTTGGTTACGTTATGTGTTACTTCAGGCATTTGCAGGTCAAGATCTTGTATGGTCAAACACTTGTCTCTGGTTTTTATTTGGTTTCAAGTTGAATTAGAGAGTAACTCTTGATATGTCTAACCAACTTGCTCTTTTTGAGATTCTTTTATAAAAAAATTCCAGCTAACTCTTTGTCTAACTCATAATTCCAGTGGCATACGAGGATGCTTCTTTGGGATTGCTAACATGATACTTGTGAGTTTCCCAGGATTTTTTCCTTTTTATTTGTTGCTTAAATCTACTCAGTAATCTTGCCTTCTCAGAACATGATATGATGGGGTCTCACACTACTCTGTAGGTGAAACGAATGAGGGAAACACTATACTCCACTCTTCTCTTCCAGGTCCTGAAAGTTTCTAGCTGGAAAGAATCTTGGTAGCTCATGTTTACCTTTAATTTTTTTTTAATTACTTTCGTTAACTTGGCTGGATTTTGCATCAGGATATATCATTTTTCGACTCTCAAACTGTTGGTGACTTAACAAGCAGACTTGGATCAGATTGTCAGCAAGTCTCGAGGGTCATCGGAAATGATCTGAACATGATATTCCGCAATGTTCTTCAGGTCTTCTACTACAGTACAATATAATTTCCATCTCGCCTGAAGTATGTTTTGTGCATGGTTGACTTCTGAATGTATGTTTACGTTCTTTCTTTTAGGGTACAGGGGCATTGATTTATTTGCTAATTTTGTCTTGGCCCCTTGGGCTGTGCACATTGGTGATATGCTGTATTTTGGCTGCGGTTATGTTCGTTTATGGGATGTGAGATTCTACCATTACTTGTCTCACTTTCATTAAGAATACTAATCTGTGAAGACATAATAGATTATACACCTGGCAGCTGAAACTGATACTTAAGCCATCTGGTCATGTTTAGGTACCAAAAGAAGACAGCGAAGCTAATTCAGGAGATCACAGCTTCTGCAAATGAAGTAGATTGCTCAAAAACACTTATCTTAACATGTCTTTATATGCAATGAATTTTTTCCATAATAACTGCTCTATGATCTTCAAGGTCGCTCAAGAGACATACTCTTTGATGAGAACCGTTCGTGTATATGGGACAGAGAAGCAAGAGTTTAAAAGGTGCAATCTTTTTCCATGAAAACCCTTGACTAAGTTTTGAAAAAAAATTCTTGTGAAAATTTTGCGGTACCGGCCCTATCTGTGTCAAGACTAAGTTTGGTCACAGCCAATTTACTTTTTGACATGGATTTTCTTCTCTTTTGTGGTGGAAAGGTACAATCACTGGCTTCAGAGATTAGCGGATATAAGTTTGAGACAGAGTGCTGCATATGGTATTTGGAACTGGAGCTTCAACACTCTATACCATGCAACTCAGGTTTCTCAAATATAACCCCTGGTTTGCTTAAATTCTCTCTTTTGACTTATTTTGGGAAGGATCAATTAAATTTGCGGTTCTTAAAGATGGTGTTGCTCATGCTAAGAATGTGACAAGATCCATCATTTTTTTTTCTTTTATAGATTATTGCTGTCCTGGTTGGAGGATTGTCTATCTTAGCTGGTCAAATAACAGCAGAGCAGCTGACAAAGTTTCTGTTGTATAGTGAATGGTTAATCTATGCTACATGGTGGGTGGGAGATAATTTATCATCTTTGATGCAATCAGTTGGAGCGAGTGAAAAGGTCTTCCAAATGATGGATCTCAAGCCAAGTGATCAATTCATATCAAAAGGCAAGGTTCAAATATTTGGCTAAGAGCACTATATCTTAGAAACATGTTGACCATTTATGAGATTGATGAGAGCGTGAGTTAGGTTGTTATTACTCTTACAATGAAACCCCTTCCAGGATGAACCACTTATAGTAATTCACTTTGGACTTCCTACCTGGAGGCTTACATGATTGCTACGCTATACCATGTAATGTATTTTTATATATAAACTGTTCTGCAGGAACGAGACTGCAGAGACTGACAGGACATATCGAGTTTGTAGATGTGTCGTTCAGCTACCCTTCAAGAGAGGAGGTATGACTGCACTCGAGTGGAATCTATTTTCTGAAAACGTTTTGCTTCCAACTTTTTGCTTTTTGTGAATGTCCTTGAACCCATTTGTGCTTACAAATTAATGGCCAAATATATGGTTTTGCATTTGCACCATTTTACATTTTTGTTGAGTAAATTAGAATTCTTGTACACACATCATGAAGAGTTTTGCAGTCATGTTTATGGTATGGATTGTATGGGCATTGGGGTTCATATTTCAGTTTGTCATAACAATCATATCATATGTCAATCTCTCAGGTGGCGGTGGTTCAAAACGTAAGCTTATCCGTGCATCCTGGTGAAGTGGTAGCAATCGTAAGTATATCTCAAAGTAGTTCAACAATACCACTGTTTTCCTTAGAATTTAGCGGAAGTGGTATGTGAGCAAATTTGTTTTGTTTAGGTTGGTCTAAGTGGCAGTGGCAAAAGTACACTGGTTAATCTTTTGCTACAACTGTACGAACCAACAAGTGGTCAGGTACTGTAGGTTTCTCAAACTCACTGTAGAATAACCCTTTAAATCCTTCCTTCCTAATAGCTGGCTTTTTGAATTACAGATTCTACTAGATGGGGTTCCTTTGAAAGAGTTGGATGTCAAGTGGCTAAGGCAAAGAATCGGATACGTGGGGCAGGTTCTCCTCGCATTTCGTCTTTGTAGAACAAATAAAATTTGATGAATTTTACTTTCCCTTTCTAAAGCTGTCTGTCACAATGAAACAGGAACCAAAGCTCTTCCGCACGGACATCAGTTCCAACATCAAGTATGGATGTGATCGTAATATATCGCAAGAAGATATAATATCAGCCGCAAAGCAAGCCTATGCACATGAATTTATCACAGCACTGCCCAATGGTTATAACACAATTGTTGATGATGATCTACTCAGTGGAGGGCAGAAACAACGGATTGCCATTGCTCGTGCCATCCTTAGAGATCCTAGAATTCTCATCCTCGATGAAGCCACAAGTGCACTCGATGCAGAGAGCGAACACAACGTTAAGGTAACCTCTCCAATGCCAAAAAGACAAATTACTTGGATGCAAGAATTCTTAAGCCTTTTGTATTTCCAGGGCGTACTTCGTTCTATCGGAAACGACTCAGCAACAAAGAGAAGTGTCATAGTGATAGCACACAGGTATCGTTATCTTGCACAGATCCGATCTTTTACATGTTTTGATGATTGATTTATGACAACATTCTGTTTCTTCACAGACTTTCTACGATTCAGGCTGCGGATAGAATAGTGGCTATGGACAGTGGACGAGTCGTCGAGGTAAGCCACACTCTCTTACTGGTTTTGATAAATTTTATGAAACCAAATTGATCTCTGTGATCTTGACTGTTACATTTGTACACAAAACAGATGGGCAATCACAAAGAACTTTTGAGCAAAGATGGCTTATACGCGAGATTGTCGAAGAGACAAGCGGATGCTGTCGTATGATTGATCCTACACATGCTAAAAACTATTCATGAATAGTCATGATTATGTTTTTGAATGGTCATGACGATATGTAATGATATTGTGTAAAGGTGTAACCATAGAAAATTCTTATTTAACACAAATCGTGTCGTTCCTTATAATTAACGTAAACTACCTGCCGTTTATATATTTCCAAAAAAAAGACGACCTGCAGTTTTTCAAGATAAATTTCGGTCTAATCAAATTCGAGAACAAGCAGCGATCTCAAACGCTAGAGTCAAAAGACTCAAAACCTTGTTGCTAATGGACGCGTATCAGCCACCGCCTCAGTACCTGAGACCGCCGTCTGGACCACCGCCTCCGGCGGATCCTTACCACCAATACTATCAGCATCAGGCGAGACCACCGGTGCCTCCGCCTACGCAGCCCGGTGGTCCTCCTACATGGTACTCCAACCAATTTCATAACCCTCACTCTCCATCGCCACCGCCTCCACCTCCGCCGCAGTGGGGACCACCTTCGCCGCATTATCCTCAAGGCCAACCTTACTCTTCTTCGGCTTATACTCCTCACCAGCCGCCATTCAACGCTGGAGCTAACGGTAACAGTCAGTTTCCTCCTCCATCTGCCGGTGCGCCGATTCCTCCGCCATATCCTCAGGCTAATCAGGTTGCTCCGTCGTTGGATTTTCCTGTGTATTTTTCCTTTGTCGAACTGTTAATTCTGAATTTGATTTTGATTTTGCATTATCAGGAATGGGGCAATCCAAGTTGGGGGTATCAACAACAACAAGGTCACACCCCCCAAGGTTTGCTTTCTCTCATTGCTATCTATGTTATTGAGTGAATATTCGGGATTTGGTTTCTGATTATCTCGTGATTGCAGCTAATAGCAACGTCGAGGACTGGGCAGTGAAAGCCAAAGAATGGGCAGCTGCGAACAAGGATCAGCAATTGCAGTCTGCACCGAACCAAACTAGCGGACAAGTCTACCAGCAGCAGTACCCTACTCATGGCTATCAAGATGTTCATCAACAGGCAGTTCCAGGAATAAGCTATCAGCAGCAGTTTCCAGTTCCACCCACAACACAGCCGGAGAGATATCCAAATTATGCAACAGGACACGAGAGTTTTCCTGGAGGTGGATTGCCCCAAGAAAACCTGACTACCAGTTCTGCAATTCATCAGCAGGAGGTACCTTATAGTTATTCTTCTGTAGCAGGTAACCATTTACTTAGAGCATAGCTCCTAGTAAAGCACTCTATGTGGGTTTCTTTGTAACTTGATATTCCGCGGGTGTCCTCGAAATTCTCCTGTCCTATAAGTTCATGATAAATCATGTGCATAATGATGTGCTGTGTAATATATGGGTACAAGCTCGCCAGAATAATCCATAGATCCTAATCAGTGTGCCTCTGTTTCTCATTTTTGTTGGTCTAGAGATTGGTAACTCTTAAGCTTTGTACACCTTCAGAACTTAAACTTGTTACTTTGTTTGCAGGTAATGAAGAGTCTGGAAATGCAACACAACATGAGGTGCAGATATCATTGCCTGATGCTGGGGGACCTGTTCGCACGGAGCAGCATATGCAATATGCATATGGAGATCAATCAGCTGTTCCACCTAGTAACCTTAGTGATCAGCCTGTACAGTTTTCTACCAGAGAGAGTTCTGATTATTCTGGTGTTCACAATGCATGGCAGTCCCATACAACAACCGGGGTAGTCTATCCTCCAATCCCTTCATCGGTGCAGTCAATACCTCAGGTACACTTACGTTGTTTGGTTATCTTTCGTTTCTGTATTAGTTCGGTATAGGCAAGTTCGATGTTTACTCTCTTTGCAGAATGACTCATCTATGGCTATACCTCCTGTTTCGGGTCATATCATGCCTCAATATGGAAGGTTTCCCCCACCAAACCTCCAGCCTGTTGGACCCCCATATGCTTTTGCGACAAAGCCGCCTCTTCACCCTGTTACAGCATTCATGGATGACTCATATGCAGCATCGTCTGTTCCTCCGAAAAAGGTAAGAATGATTTTTTTTCTGGAAGAGTTTAGTACCTTCCTTGAATTCTGGCTAATAATGTGGTTTCCAGGCTCCTGTACCTAACTGGCTCAAGGAAGAATTATTGAAGAAAAAAGCAGATCTTGGAAGGCCTTCTTCAGGGAGTTTTGAGGGGAGAGAATCTATGGATGATGATGTACTTTATAAACCTCCTGCCAAAGCTGATCAGCGTGACGAAAAAAGCTTCAGCCCCTCCAAATCCTCTGACGAAGAAGAAGAGGAGGATGAGGTTCCTTGAACTTTTAACACTTGTTTTGTTTTGACGATTCAAGCTCTGTTGGTACTTAAATTTGATCCAGTACCATCACTAAAATGCATGGTTTGCTTCATGTAGGATGAGATGGATGCAGCTAGAACAGCAGAAATTAATATGGAGATAAAGCGTATCTTGACTGAAGTCCTTCTTAAGGTAGGTGGCCTGATAGAAATAGAGTGGTTGGTCTATAAACATGTTTCTGCAACAGTTGACTTATGTCTTTTGAACAGGTTACAGATGAATTGTTTGATGAAATTGCAACCAAAGTCATTAATGAAGATGAAGCAATACCTAAAGGTTTGTTGTGGTCTCCAAGATTTAGTTTTATGTCTTTAATCTGTGGAATAACTTCTGAATCTTACCATCTTCTGTACTGCTATGCTGGCTGTTCATGGTTCAGCTGACAGTGTACAGCACAATCATAAGTCGTCATCATCCATTCTCTCCACAGCTGATCCACTCCACAAGGCTTCGGCAAAGATTTTAGTCTCCGTAGAAGGCGCTAATGACAAAGCCAGTTCTAGCTCTCCAGCAGATGTGCTAGGTCTTGCTAGCTATGCCTCTGATGATGATGATGCTGATACTGATGCTGCTTCTAATGATGGAGTTGAGAGTCTTGGCGTGGGGTCAAGACACGATGTTAGTCAGCGGCCAAGCAGTGAGAAACTTCCTGAACCTGAAGCAATGGCCAATGCGAAATTGGATCCAAAAGTTGAAGTCAATGCTAGTTCCGGCAAGAATGGTAAGTCAGGTTTGGAGGATTATTCTCAAATGCCAGGCTCCAGAAGAAAAGATGATGAGGCAGGTAGTACCAAAATATCAGATGTAAGCGCCAACTCTGGACTTGATGCTGATACTTCAGGAAGCAGAAAAGAGCATCCTGACAGAACTGATAGTGATAAAGATGCAGTACTAGATGAACCTCACGGGAAGAATTCTGGCTTGAAATCAGATTGCAGCCTTCGTCAAGATAGTAATAAAACTTCTGGGAAAGACTTGAGTGACGAAGTGAGTACGGATAGAAGTAGAACAGATGAAACGAAAGGTGGGAAAGAGAAAGTAGATTCTCAGAATGGCTCAAAAGATAGAATGAAGGAGAATGACTTAAAGTCAGCAGAGAAAGTTAAAGGCGTTGAATCAAATAAAAAATCTACCGATCGCCATGTAAAGAAAGACTCAAGGGATGTAGAGAGGCCTCACAGAACTAATTCTAAGGAAGACCGGGGTAAAAAAAAAGGAGAAGGAAAAGGAAGAAGAAAGGTCAAGACACAGGCGGGCTGAAAACTCGAGCAAGGACAAAAGAAGACGTTCTCCAACCAGTAATGAATCTTCTGATGATTCAAAGAGGTGGCATTGGATGTTCTAAATTAAGTTTGTTTGCCCGCTTCTTTTGTCTAATGCTATTTCTCAATGCTCACGATGGTTCTTTAATTACCTTTCTCCAGGAAGTCCCGTTCTAGAAAAAGGAATGTATCACCATCTCCTGTGAGGTCCAGAAGAAAACGCTCTTCTCCATCCAGTGATGAATCCTCTGATGATTCAAAAAGGTGACAATAGAGTGTTCTGCTTTTTGAGTTTTGTTTTTTGGGCTTCTTTTGTCTAATGCTAACAAACTTTTTGTCTTTCTTCAGGAAGTCATCTTCGGAAAGAAGAAATCGGTCACCATCTCCAGAAAGGTCCAGAAGAAGGTAGCTTTCTAAAACTATTAGCATTATGAGATCACTGGTGTTTCTATATGTTTGTTTAGTCTATATTAGCACTAGACTGTGAAGTTAAAGAACTTTTGAAAGCAAAAGACAATAATGGGTAAGCCAAGCGGAGTAGCTAGTATGAAAACTCACCACAAAAAGTATCATATATGTTTTGATTGTATAGACATGTTTCTTCGCGGTCACCACATAGCAAGCATTCTCAGCACAAGAACATTCTCTACTCTTCTCATGAAAAATCCAGGTATGTATTCTATGTTTCTTCTGTCTTAACAGGTGAATAAAGCTGGATTAAAAAAAACAAAACAAAAGAGTGTGCTATATCTCGTGTTTTATTCAATGGAACTCAAACCTGATTTGTGATACAGGTCAAAGCGGTCAAGATCCAGATCAAGATCACCCCACAGGCGCCATCGTGCTAAATGAACACTCAAGCAAACTGGTCAGAAACTGTATCCGGTACAACGTTGTACTGAGACTTGGTCTTTTCTGATGTACGTGGTGGATCAACGGGTTGGGTTAATGTACTGGACGGACATCTATATAACCAAGAATTTTAAAGTCACCTGTTTATGAGCGAAATAGTGCATTGTAAACCGCTCTTTCATTAGTTCTTGAGAAGAATATTCAAAGATTTTTGACCGACTTGTTTGACAATATCGTTTGGTTAAGCCTTCCTTTGTAAAATTTTGTCTGTTGATGTTCTTTCTCTGAAACATTACATCATCAAAATCTGTCATATGTTCTTACGTTCCACATTCTAATGAAATCGTATAAAATTAAACTAGTTAAGATAAGAGTTGTGACCCAAAAAAAAAAGTCCGTAGCAAATGTCTGAATCGTTAGGCGAATTTCACGAAAAGTCTTACTTTTGTGGGAGAAGAAGAGATTGTTAAATTCTGCAATCAATTTCTTGAAGATGACGAAAAGCGTTCACATGTCTCTTCTTCTTCTTCTTCCCCATTCCTCCCGCCGGCTTTCCGCTTCTTGAAGTTTGGTATTTCTCCATTTTCTTCTCTTTTCCGTTAAAGCTCCATTTTTTTTAAAAAAAATCTGTCTTTATTTTCTGAACTTTCTTCTCTCATTTCACAATTCTTCCATGAAGCTTAAGGTTTCATTCTCTCCACTACTTTCTTTATTCGAGATCTTGTGTTTCAATTTTCTGAAAAAGGTTTTGACTTTGATTTGATGAATCAATCTTATAGGGTCTTCGAGCTGGGCTGTTGTCAATTTGGCTATCTGGGTTTCTTCTAATCGCTCTCTCTTTCTACGGCACTCAGCTTCTATCTCCAACTTCACTCAATGATCCATTTAGATACTCTGGCGATTCTATTGCTGCTGCTCCAAGAATCACCATTTTCACTTCTTTCAATGGGGAAGAAAATAGCCAAGCTTTACTTGCTCTTCGTTCATGGCTCGCTTTGTCTTCCCAAATCACTGTTGTTTTATTCACTCAACAAACACAACAACCCTTCTTCTGATTCTTCTTCATTCACCGACAATTTGGTTCTCGTCTTCTTCTTGATTCCACAGTTGATTTCACGTAAGCTCTCTATTCCCACTCCATTTGGTTCTATATTTGATTGGCATGTCTGTGTCTCACTTGTTGGTATTAAGTGATTATTGAAGGGAAGATTTGGTCATGTGACATCTTGGTTTAACTGTTAGGTTTTCTTGGCACTCCATTTTACATTCGATGCTGGCGAGAAGTGAAGCTTATCAATCAGATATAGCTGTTCTGATGGATCCAACGACTGTTTTTACTTCCAGATTTCATATCTGCTTTGAATTATGCTCACGAGCTTAATCGTGATTGGCTTCTTGTTTCTTCACCGTGGAAATTCCTAGTTTCCCGTTCCGATTGGGACGAAACAAGACATTTTTGGCGTCAGGGCAATGGGAAAAGAGTGAGATTTGGGGAGGTGTGTAGGAGGAAACTTTTGTTTTTGTTGATAATGATCTGATCTGATCCTCCCTAATCAAATTTCGATCGCGTTTTTCTTTGTGTCAACAGTTGCAAAGATGATAAGCTTGCGGCGTTTGCAATCAAATTCTAGTGAAGGCAATTGATTATGGCATGGAACAACATTCATATGCCCTTTGCACTGTGGAGTGCTTCCTCCTTTTTGTATCAAAGAGGAATTCATAATCATGGATCATTAACGAAGCTATGTCATGTAAAAGAAGGTTTGTGTTTGATGCTACTTCAACCATATCAAGCTTTTTCCTAGGCAATGGAGAGAATAGGAGTGATAATGTCTCAGAACTCAAAACGAGAAACTGGGAATATATAGGAAACTCCCATCTCGGGCAGCTCTACGGGTCTTATTCTCTAGGTCTTATACTCTACCTAAGCTTTTGAAGTGCAACAAGCGCTATATGTTGTTAGCGCGTCAGATCGTTCCAGTGATCTGTCTATACCAAAAGGAAAGAGTTTAGGATTTCGGACGCGAGAGAAGATCTCCGCTTGTATCAGTAGAACTAAATCGCGGAGTTTGAAATTAGATTTTATGCAGAAAGATGAGGCAGTGCCACCATTGAAGTTTCCTTTTGACCTGGAGTCTCTTCTCCCATTAGTTGCAGACAAGAACAGAACTGTTGTACTTTCATTGCTGGGTATAGCTATAAGGACATGCTGATGAGTTGGGTCTGCAGATTACGCCGCCTCAAAGTTCCAAATTTCTTAGTTTGTGCCCTTGATGATGAAACTTATCAGTTTTCTTTATTGCAGGTAATTAATGTCTCTTGCTTCTCTTTCTTACTACAGTGAACGATCATAGGGTTTATAATCAGTTGGTCTCGTGCAGGGTCTGCCAGTTTTCTTTGATCCATTCGCTCCAAAGAATATAGCTTCAATGACTGCCACTTTGGATCAAAGTGTTTCCAGAGAGTGACCAAAGTTAAGTCAAGAAACAGTTTTGAAGATTCTGAAGTTGGGCTATAACGTTCTCTTGAGTGATGTAGATGTATATTGGTTCAGAAACCCGTTGCCTCTGCTTCAATCTTTCGGTCCTTCTGTTCTTACCGCACAATCCGATGAGTACAACACACAGGTGATGATGATGAACTGATCAAATTGGACCAAAACCTTGTTTTAAATTCTAATGAATTGGGGTTATGTTTGATTTTTGCAGTACCGGTAAACAGACCAAGGCGCTTGAACTCGGGATTCTACTTTGCACGTTCAGATGGCCCGACTATAGCAGCAATGGAGAAAGTGGTAAAGCATGCTGCAACCTCCGGTCTCTCGGAACAGCCTAGCTTCTACGACACTTTATGCGGAGAAAGGTGGAATTCATCGCGTGGGAGACGGATAAATGCCTTGAACCAGAGACAAACCTGACCGTTCATTTCTTAGACAGAGAGCTGTTCCCGAACGAGCTTACGGAGATCTATGCTGAAGGAAGACGTAAGAGAGAGTGCGAGAAGAAGCATTGCTTCGTTCTACATACAACTGGATCAGTGGGAGGACTGAAGAAACTCGAACGCCAAATGATGAAGGTCTATGGGAATATGACGCATCCATGAGGATGTGTGTGTAGAGATGACAAGGTTATACAAGTTAGATACTTAGATGGGAGTGGGACATTCAAAGGCTCTTGGTATTGGATATAGTTATACAAATTGTGTTTATTTATTGTATTGTTGTATGAAAATAGTTTTAGGAATATGAACTTGTAAACTGCAAATTATTTGCCAGAGATGAAACAAATATAAATTGATTTTGAGGATGATTTTTTTTTTTGTACTCTCCATGTAGTAATGTTGTAAGCCATATTGTTTATAGATTATATTATCGTAAGCCACTCGTTTATCCTTGAAAACCAATTTATAATGGTTGCCACATAAACAAAACACAAGTGTCAATTTATTTTGGTACGTAGGATCACTGTTTCAGTAAATCACAAGTCTGTTGAAAGACCTAACCATTGGGATTTGGGTGGACCCATCATTTTCTAATAACTGCACTTTTCTCCAAAGTTTTGTGAAAATATCCTCTCTTTTTTTTTTAATCATTTTAAGGTTTTTAGGTACTTTTGTAACAAAAATGATTTTATTTTGAACTTTCATTATTTCACCAACAAATCAATTTTTCAAACCATTTTTTTATCGCTTTTATTTTCAACTTTTATGATTTCACCAACAAATCAATTTTTAAACCGTTTTTTTTATCGCTACTTTTACTGTTTTTTTTCAATTCGCCTAAAAAAAAATTGTACTGTTTTTGTTACCAATCAGATCCAAAACTTACGTTATTATATATATATTTTATGGAAATTATATATTCTTTTCAAACCACTCAATTAGATTTATAATAAAAATTTTTATTTTATTGAGATTCATACAAAGTTCTATCGTGAGATCGTGTGACCAAGAACAAAATTTTTATCGTGAAATTACCTCATCTTTTCGAAGAGGATACGACTAAACATGAGCAACTCGATAAACTCGTCCGCCCCACTAATCCAACGGCTCCTGTTTCTCTGATCACTACCACATCTTTGTCAAATATTCTTGACTACTTATGTGTTCTATTCCGGTGCAGAACTTGCATCCTAACAGCTTCCGTCTCTGAAAAACTTGCATCATGTCAATACAAAATAAACTTGTCAAACAGAACAAAAACAAGACTAATGGGATAAATTACTTCTTTATTTTATTGAAACTTAGATATATGCAGTTCAAAATAAATAAAATTTAATCAAGTAATTAGACAAATGACATTCAAACATCAAATGTTGTTTCCCCATTGATTTATCTTATAGATCGGATTATGTATGTGGCCTTATATAATAATATCTCCTTAGTTATTAAATATCAAGAATTTTACGATATTGCAATGCAAATCTTCATGGTCGTTGTGGGCTTTTCAAGGGACCCGGTTGCACAAGACAAGAGGCCAACGTCAATCGAAAATATCAAACGTTTGACAAAAAAAAATAGCAAAATATCTAATTTGTTTTTCCATTTGTGGTTTTTGTGTAAAAAATAGATAAATATGAGAAAATATCTAGACTTTTACTATACAACTTAATTATAATCGGTTGAACCATATATGAGAGAAAAAAAAAAATCTATATTATAGTACTCTTATCAAACAAACATTATCAAAAGTTGTTATGAAACACAACCTTTGTCTACATATTGTTGTAATTACATGTGTGCATTCATTTACTATCACATTATGTGTTCATGAACATATTTGCTTGCCTATTAAGTAAAATCTACCGAGAAAAATTCAAAAGACAATGGTCGAGACCGGTTAGCATAAAATCTGTTGTATGGGTCCTTAGAACTCCACTTATCTTACAACACGCGTCCAAATTTGTCCTATGAAGTTTTCACTTTTCTTTTTAAAAAAGAATTCAGAGAATATTCCCAAACAAAAAAAAATTACGTCGGCAAAAACTTTATTTTCGATTTAAACTTTTTCTAGATAAATTACACGACACACAAAAAAGAAAGAATAAATCATTACCCTTTTATATCTACGGTTTTCACACTCCTTTGCATTCTTGGAAAATCCTCTATATATAACGCTCGAATATTAGAGTTGCTTGGCTTCAAGAAAAGTTTATACAACTAAATAACCTCCTCCTCCTCCACCGAGCTTGCAAATAACCTTAAAAAGTGATATGGCTCCGAATCCAACCACCGTCAAATTCCTCTGTAGCTACGACGGTAGAATCACCCCACGTTATCCCGACGGCAAGCTCCGTTACCAAGGCGGTCATACACGTGTCCTCTCCGTCCCTCGCTCCATATCTTTCACCGAGCTAACGAAAAAGCTTGGTGAGATTTGCGGGATTGCAGTAACTAGTCTCCGGTGTCAGTTACCAACGGATGACCTCGACGCGCTTGTAACCGTAAGTTCCGACGAGGATCTAAAGAATCTCATGGAGGAATACGATCTCTCTACAACGACACATGTTAAGATCCACGTCTTCCTTTCTCCACTAAAATCAACGAGGACAACAACGAACTTGTCTCCTCCAACTTCAACGACGTCGTCTTCTTCATCAAAGTCGTCGAAATCACGCTCTCGGTCTCCTCCATCGCCTTCAACTCCGGAAACATGTCAGAGTTGCGTAGAGAGATCGATGCGTAACAATGGATCCTACGTTCATCGAAGTCCAAGTCAAAACCAATTCTACCTCTTCAATAATTGAAACAATCACTCAACTTTGTGCCAGTAGAAGTCTAGAATTCTCTGAATTATATTAAACGTGAGGATCAATTTCATTTTAAGAGATTTGCGGTTCTGTTAGATTTTTGAATTTTTCCTTTGTGAATTGTGATGGTGTCATGGTGATGAAAGAGTGTTTTGGGTTTTTTACCAGTACACAATTTCTTCTATGAATATCCAATGAATATAAGACACGTGTAAAGTTAATGAAGATATTTTTTTCTCTTTTTTTGTACTGTACGTGTTTTCAGATATTATTTTGTTATAACAAAACCAAATTGATTAAATAAGGGGAAATTCACATTTTTAACCTTCAAAGTGTCACTGGGTAGCACTTTAAACCTCGAAAGAATTTCACTAACACTATAAACTATCAAAATAATTTTACTAACACTTTAAACTTCCAAACTACCTTTTCTGTTTGTCCCGCCATAAAAAATGATGGAAAATTTAATTTCTATTTGTTTAATATACATTTATTTAATTTCATTGAAATTAAATTATTTTTATTATTTATTAAAATTAATAAAAATCTAAAAAGACAAAAAAAAAAAAAAAACTTCCACCTTTTTGTCTACGAACCGTTCGACCATGAAATTTCAAAATTAAACCTCTAAAACTATAGACTTAAGCACAAGAAAAATTTAAAAATAATAATATAAACCAAATAATGTATAATATGAGGTACAAAGAGGCTTAAATAGAATAATAAAAACCAAAGAATGTCAAAGTTTAGTTAGAAAACGAAGCATTCTCCGTATCAGAGGAATCTATTTTTTTAACTTTTCTTAATAATCGTAAAATCATAATAATAAGAAAATTAATTAAAAATTAAATTAAATTAAATAAATTTATATTAAACCAACATAAATTAATTATTCTATCATATTTTATGGCAATGTAAACATGAAAGCTAGTTTGGAGGTTTAAAGTGTTAGTAAAATTATTTTGATGGTTTATAATGTTAGTGAAATTCTTTCGAGGTTTAAAGTGCTACCCAGGGACACTTTGAAGGTTAAAAATGTGAATTTCCCATTAAATAAGTTTCTCTGAGTTTTAGTCTGATGCTCTTTCTTCTTCCTCTGAGTTTCCGATGATGGCGTTGATTCTAATACTTGTTATACTTATAGTTGTTTTGTTTTGTTTCTACCATTTTCTTATCAAATTTCGCCGGTTTCGGAGTTGAAAATCCGGCGAAGCTTTGCGGAAGAATGCTTATCGGTGCTCTTCTCCGTTTTAAATCTCGAAACTAGCTCCTCAAAGCCTTCTTCTCCATATCAGAGAGGGCGGCGGTGATCTCTCTGGGAAACGGCGGTCCTTTCTCGGCGATGTCGTGTGGTCCTCGATTTCACACGTGGCAGTTTGTTTCACCTTCTGCGTGTTACTCCTACTATACTACACGTGTCTTTTTCCCTTTTTTTCTCTTAAAATTTATGTACCATGTAATGGATTGTTAAATGTGAAGTTTAATTAATAACATCGTTTGTATATTGGGCCTAAGTAGACTCTTATATGGGCCATATAACACAAACCCACCCAACAATATCGAAGCGTCATGCAAGGAAAAGGAATCACAATTTTGAATTAAAGCTGTAATAAATAAATGAGACAGAAAACTATGCTATTGACGTTCTGTTTTCTTTTCCCAATAGACGAATGGTTATTAAATTTCTTTGATTTCCAATAGAAATGGCTATTAAGTTTTCTTTTAACGAAGGTGCATATAAATAAGTCTCATTTCTTCTAATGACATTGAGAAGTAAGAACTCTAGTTTTCATTTTTCTTATCCTTATACTTAAGCTTATGGTTATTCAAGAGAAAACAATGAAATGCAATGTGTTTTTGTTTAGACAAAATGTTTATGTCAATGCATTGTACATTTTGTCTTTACAAAGACAACATTGTGTTTCGTTTTTTTCTTTTTCGGAAAAAATCGCTTTGTAACTAAATTTTATGTACCATTAAACGGATTGTTACATATGAAAGTTTTGATTACAATAAAGTCGGTGTCTTTGTCTTTTACCCACCAAAACTCTCATGACGAGATTCTTACAGGACCAACCATAGATTGTTCCATCGGATCATTGGGTTTACAAGAAGACCATTTCACGGTCTGGCTAAAAACCCAACAACGCTGAGATTGCTAGACCATGTTGGTTGATCCAAGCTCGCACCCATGGCCCGAGTGGCTAGATTTAATGGGGATGTTAGTGAAAAAAGGTTACTTTCGTCGAAAGCAGCGTGAATCCATTGATGAGTTCCAAGGACTCGAATCATATTCGTACTGCTTGTCTCAATTTTGCCCGCCATCGTTCACTCTCGTCAGGTAATGCGATTGAAGAATCCATATTGCACACCCAGGTGTTCGACTAAATGCCGGAGATAAAGAAAATATATAGATCCTTCTTTCAAGTCCTGCATTTGTTTTCTGGTAGCTAAAAATCATTCCTTTTTTAGTTAATTGTGAGGATTCAACTGGAATTTTCTTACTTGCAGATACTTGTCAAAGAAAGATATCAAAGTGATTGCTGGGTGTGGATGTCCTAGCACTGACAGAAAGGTCGTGAAGTCGGGAAAGCGTTTAAGAGCTTATGTGGGCATGATGAAGGAAATGTATGCATTCCTATGTTGCTTTCTTTTTTGTAGTTCATTAAGTTAACCCTTTTTTTTGGATTCACACGCTTATAAGAGTTGTGAGGTTTTACTTGAAACTACTTAACCAAGCTTTAAAACATTTACTTAGTAGGTGTTGTGGCTCTTGCAACTTGAGAGGGAAATGTGAAAGGCGTATGCACAAGCACGAGATGATGAAGGTGTTTCGAACTTATAGATGTCATGCGTATACTGCTAACTTATGGGCTTGATTCCATTTCTCCTACTGTGAAGAATCGTGTTTGTCAAACCAAACTTGTTGAAGATTCTGTTAGGAAGTGGCTGAGGGAAAGTTGTAGCCTATAGCTTAAAAGAGTTTGAATCTGCTGAGACTCAGACAGCTGGAGATGAGCTCCAGCCGAATTCACATGACAGTGAGGAGAGAGATCCACGAAAAAGACCAGGGGATTGGCATTGTACAGAGTAAGTAATGTACTTGCATTTATCAATATAGTTTATAATTTGATTTCAGGGATATTAATCTTTGGGCTCTTTTTTTTGTTATGGACTGTTTTTATCTGGCAGATGCAAGTTCCTAAATTTTGCGAAAAACATAAGATGCTTGCGATGTGATGTGTTTTCTGAGGAAAGGCTTGAAACAGTTGAAGGAAGAACAGAAAGATCATCTCCCACTGAAGAAAGGAGATTGGATTTGTCAAACGTGAGGACAAACAGTTTGATCGGTTAGTGTTTAATTTGATTAAAACCATGAAAACCCGTTTTTAACATTTTTGTTTTATTTCCGCAGATGCAATTCCTGAACTTTCGAAAAACACAAGATGCTTAAGGTGCAAAGACAAGCCTACATCGCGTCAAATCAATCCGGGAGAGTGGGAATGCGATGTCGTGAGTCATCCTCCCTAAACCTTAAAGCTAAAGGCTGTTTAATTTTAAAATCTGGCGCTCGTTGTTGGAAACTGATAATGTTTCTACACATCATCAGGTGCAATTACATCAATTTCAGAAGAAACGCTGTATGTTTGAAGTGTGATCACAAGAGACAAAAGGCTTCAATGTCACACCGGATTCAAAGACAGGCTGTGATCGTCAAAACGAAGTTACAAAGACGTGGATGTTTTGTAGAAGAAGAAGAAAGAACAGAAGGAAGAGGAAGAGGAAGATGGCTTCATGGGATTTCCAGTAGAAGGAGGGAGAAGTAATGTTTCAAAGAGCGCAGAAAAGAGAGAGCAATGGAAGTTGGAAATGGACACAGAGGATTAGAAGCAATGGGACTGAAGCGAAAAAGATGATGATACGAAGAAGAACGAAAAAGAGTCAAGATGTTATGATCGAAGAAGAAATGAGCTTCTTGGTAACATTAGTGATGATGGAGAGATGGATGATTGGTTTTGTTTCAAAACCAGATAGATCGACTTAAACTATAATCTAATCGGACTTGAAAGTTGAAACCACGTCTGTTTTGTTCTTCTATTTATTTTTTTCTTTGTTCCGACATTTTTGTGGTAAAACCTGAAAAACATTGGATTGCAAATGCTAAAGAACAAAGCAAGAACCACCTCTAGGTCCACTATACCATCTATTGTCCTCGCTGTTATGGTTGGTTGATATTTTGTCATAGTGGTTATTTTTTTTTTATCTAACTCAATAATGGTGACATGTCACTAACCATTAATTTCCAACTATTTCCAACAGAATCAAACCTTTCTTTAGACCATCAATTAGTAGGTGATTGGATCACATTTTGGACCGAATTAGTAGGACAATGTGTATTGAATACCAAATTAAGATTGATAGATTTCTTCTACTCAAAACTTTTCCTTATAAAATTAAAAAAATACAAATAGATTATTGTTGGAAGTGGTGGAGAAAAAGTGGGGTTGCAAAATAACTACCGTACGACTACAACGCACTTGACCAACTCTCTCTCTCTCTCTTTTTTCTTCTTCCAATAATTTTTCCAATTCATATCCTTCTGATGAACAGTAGCTGTTAGACTATCTCTCTCTCATCTCTACCTCCTCTGTTTCTTCATCTACTCTCGCCAAATCCTTCAGATACTGCTCTGTAATCTCACCACAATCATCTTATCTAAATGGGTTCGGAAGAAGAGAAGGTCGTTGGTAAGTCTCTTTGATTTTGGAATCTAGGGTTTAGTATGTGTCTTGACCTTCTTTAAACTTGTTGTTACTTCCTGAGGTTTAAAGTAACGATTTTGATTATACAGATTACCAACTCTCTCTCTATATCGACGGATCAATCATTCATTCATTTGTATGTTTTTTGTTTTTTGCAGTTCCAAGAAACTTTAGATTATTGGAAGAGCTTGAAAGAGGTGAGAAAGGAATTGGAGATGGCACTGTGAGCTATGGAATGGATGATGCTGATGATATCTTGATGGCAATCTTGGACTGGTACCATTATTGGTCCTCATACTGTACGTTTTCTCTTTCTCTCCATCGTTATAAACCTGTTGTGGTATCTGTGGTAGATTGAATAAAGATGCAATTTTTAATGCTAAAGCAAGAAACTTTCGAACTGTTAAACCTTAAAGATGCAATTTTTTAATGATCGAGCTAGATAACTCTCAAATCTCTGCATCGTTAGATTAAATAAAGATACAATTTTGATGATAGAGCAAGATAACTTCTTTCAATGTTTTTCTTAGATTCTGCTACTTGTTGTTATAACTGGAAATGATCCTTAGCTGAGTTTTAGACGTATGTAGCATTTTAAGTATTTGTTTCCACTTTTGGGATTTGAGAAGAAAGATTGGTGTTTTTGTTATTAGACTGCGTATGAAGGGAAAATCTTTCAGCTGAAGCTTTTCTGTGGAAAGGATTATCCGGAAAGTCCACTACTGTGAGGTTCCAGACTCGGATAAACATGGCTTGTGTCAATCCTGAGAATGGAGTGGTAAGCTTTGGAACAAACAACAATAGTGATATGGGGATTTTGTTTTGCAAATTATTCAGCTACAGACATTGTTGTTTTCATGTTTTTTTAACTAGTTTGGTCAAATCGAACGATTAGGTTGATCCGAGTCACTTCCCTATGCTCTCCAACTGGAGAAGAGAATACACAATGGAGGATTTACTGATTCAGCTTAAAAAGGAATGATGTCATCGCAGAACCGCAAGTTAGCTCAACCCTTGGAAGGTAATTTTTCTTAAGTTTTAGGGATCTCGAGTTGTATTCTTACATAACCCGGTTTAGTCACACCAGTTTTGCTCTGAGCAAAGAAGCAAATGCAGAGCTTTTATAACCTAAACCGAATGTATCATCAGGTAATGAGGAAGGAAGAACTGACCCAAAGGGACTAGTGGTGAAATGTTGTGTCATGTGAAGAAGGTAATGAGGAATTTGTAAGAATTTAAGAGACAAACAATGTATATAATCATCATTTGAAAGGCTTTAAGATTGTCTGCCTCAGAACCCTTTCTTCTGCAGGCCTTCTTAATCCTACCATTTGATTATGTATTATGTAATATTTGAGAATATATCCACCAAAAGGTGCCCTTAATAAACCTACACTCTTCTTCACTCTTTTGGTCTTTTACTTGTGTGTGTGTGTGGCCTATTGAAGGACAGGGAGGTTAAAGATCGCATCAAAAGAAGAGCCTTTTGCATATAATTGATAAAGCAAAAGTTGGAGGTAGGGAAAGCAATTTACTTTTTCATTTTGGCAGAATGATGAAAGATGTTCGTTGTAGTCATGTAATTGTAGACACATTCTACTCTTGGGATCTTGCGGACCAAATTTTAAGCAGTGTGGTTAGAGAATATGTGAACAATTTGAAGTGGTTAGAGATCGAACCCTTCTTCAAAACTCGATTAGACCGACATAACCGAACACGCAGAACATGCAGTTGAAATGGACGGTTTAACTAAGTGGTTGCAACAAAGTACTAAACAAAGCAACAAATCCGTCTGATAGATATGATACTCTACCACCTCTTTTTACCGCCAAATTAACGATTCAAATCCTATATTACTATATATGTTATGAATTATATTGTCAATTTGAAGATTGTAATTTTTATTTTTGAAGAACAATACGGTAATGATTATTTTCACAAGGGATTGGATTAGAATCTAAAGGGAATGTTGTGGTAATTTGTAGAAGCAACGACCTATACCAAGTGTGAATGTGGAGAGGAATTTGTGTGGGGTTTTCATTTTTCAAGTTTCCATCATGAGCCTTTGGACAAGACAAGAGATAAAGCATAAGGAATCTGTTGCACTCAGCTTTACGCAATGACCTTTTGTTACTTCACATTTCCAATGCGTGTGAATATTGATACCGTTTACTTAACGTTGTAACCATCTTTAAAAACATTTCCCATTTAGATTATAGTTTGCATTCAAATCAAGTCTTTGTTATAAACACTTTTAGAAAATCCTTAATTATCATAACATTAATAAATGTATTTTGAGAAAATACTATTGCTTGGTAAAGTGTAATTGATGGACATGAAAGTTGTTCACATATACACACTTTACTATAAGAAGAAAGGTTGAAACTTGGAAGAAAATATATTAGTCATGGTGTACTTATGTCACTAAAAATTGATATCACGAATTCATACAAAAAAAAAAAACAACTTGAATTTTAGTCCATACTATTGTTTACGTTCCCCAAAGTTTTCTTTGATAATATATGTGACAAAATTGTAAATTTTTTATTTTGCATGCACAAGGCTACATTGAACCTAAAATCCAGTACACACACGTAACACACCTAAGGATTCTGACCACCACATTTTTTGGTAACTATTTTAGAAATCCTTGATACAGTTTTACATATTTTCAAAGCTACTAGATTGTGTAAGGGCAACAATATTTTTATTCACACCATATTTTCATTGGATTAACTCTGAGTTGATAAAATCAGACCAAAATTTTTAGTTTTAAGATTTGTATTACATGTGTCACACCCAGATTCAAATTGGTATAATGAATATTATTGGAAAAAGGAAAATCAACTAGCAGAACTAACTATATTTAAATGATCACAAATTTGAAATTACAATTCATATGCAATAGATTAAAACACAAACCAACACATAACCTTATATATACAACTAAAAAAATGGGTCTACCGTCTGCTTAACACGACTCAATTCAAATGTAAAAAAAAAACAGTTTACCAATCGTGTGTAATTTGCTAGGTGATACCATTTGATACCAATATTATCGTGAAAACTATGATTTGATTAAGCTGTCATAGACATATATAAACAATGGTTAAAACTAACAAGTAGGGTTAATTAAGTTTTTTTAGCCGCAGCCTTTGCTTGTCAACATTCAGACGCCGAGCTGATTCATCAACATTGATCAAGAACCAATTTTTAAGTGTGTTGTAGGCTTTAAAATAAAATAGAAACAATACGAAAACACCCGTGGCATATATACCCACTTTAATTTGTTCAGAAATGAATTTCATTTTAATATCTCTTTCAAAAATCAATTTATGGAGCCATGAATTTAATAGTTATCTCCACCGTAGCTTCGTTGTGCTCCTTTGCCGATAAGTAATGTATTTCATTATTTTTTGTTAAAAAACCCGTTCATCGATTCTTAATGTATTCATAGTTAATTTTTCTAAATTACTTAAACCTTCTCAGTCTTATTATAATACAATTTGTATTACTAAATAATGATAGGTTAAATAAAATTTTCGGAGTAACGTAACAATTGTTAATTTTTTTGTTTTAAAAGAACGAGGAAAGTATCAGCGAAGCAAACATGGTGCCGTGGATGATAAGTAGTATAAAGATGTCTAAAGCTTCCCACTCATTTATTGCCTTCGTATAAAATAGTAAAAAAAAGTACGACGATACAATATACTATAGTCTATATCAAGTCGAATCTTAATCACATTATTATTTAATTTAATACAAGAACAAAGAAGGAACAGTTAAATCTCTAAATATAAAAGAAGCGTGTGTTTCGCCTTCTCTTTTCACTATTTTCAGTTACTTTCTCATCTTTACCATTCTCTTTTTCTCTCTCTCATTCTCATCATGGCTTCCTCTATTTTCACTGGTACTTTTTTTTTCTAACATTCATATCTGTGATTAGTAATCACACACATGTACCATTAAATCGATCTTAAAACGTTTTTTTGGATGGTTGTAGGAGTGAAATTTGTTCCAGAAGAAGATAATTTCTTGCAGAGACATGTAGCTTTTTTCGATAGGAACAAAGATGGTATCGTTTATCCCTCGGAGACATTTCAAGGTACGGTCTTATAAAATGTCCTAATCAAACCTCGTAATATCTAAACCTAGATTTGTATTAAGAGAATATAGATCTTTCATTCTTTTGTCTTCTATGTGTGTGTGTGTGTGGCTGTTATGGTCTTATAATATATCAAGATCTTTTGATGTGATACTTTACTGTTGGATCCAAAAAATAACAAGAAAAGGATTTAGAGCAATTGGGTGTGGATATTTGTTGTCAGCAGTTGCTTCTGTGTTCATAAACATAGGTCTCAGCAGCAAAACCCGTCCGGTAATTAATCTGAAAATATTGAGACAGTACTTAAAATTTAGTTTCATACGTTACAAAAGAAAAAAGGAAACAAAGATGTGTTTGGTTGCAGGGTAAAGGATTCTCGTTGTTGTTTCCTATAGAGGTTAAGAATATTCACCTTGCCAAACATGGAAGCGATTCAGGCGTTTACGACAAAGATGGACGGTATGGATTACGACTCTGGATTGGTTCTATACCTTATATATTTTTGATTTTTTTTTTTGAATCATTATAAAATCCTATAGATTATGAAAGTTGCATTGATGCATTCAATGTAACAATGGTTTTTTTAAAAAATTGCCTATAAAATTATTTTACTATCTTTGAATGTAATTAGTGAATTTGGGAAATCTAAATCATTTTAATTTTGTTAGGTTTGTGGCATCGAAGTTTGAGGAGATATTTGCGAAGCATGCACACACACATCGCGATGCTTTGACCAACGAGGAACTCAAACAACTACTAAAGGCAAACAAACCTAATGACCGTAAAGGATGGTAAGTATCGAACCAGTTTGGTTTAAATTCGGTTTACTTTGCTCTACCAGAACCGAAAACGTGATATGAATATATATGTGAATTAAAAATGCAGGATTGCAGGGTATACGGAGTGGAAGATATTGCATTATTTGTGCAAAGACAAGAACGGTTTGTTGCACAAAGACACAGTGAGAGCTGCATATGATGGTTCTCTTTTCGAAAAACTCGAGAAACAAAAATGTTCTAAAACTTCTAAGAAACATCCATAAATCCCAATCTAAATTCATTGTTATGCTCGTGAATCTGTTATTTAAAGAACTATTATTCAATGTTCAGTAATATGGTGTGAAGATTGTAATGAGTTTTTACACAACACAAAAAAAGATGTAATGTGTTTAGTTCTCTAAAATTATTGTTTTTCGTGATTTGATTAATTGTGTACGTACTTGTTATTTCCAATCAAAGATTATACTAAATTGAAGGCAAACATATCTCAATTTCCAACACCTTTTTTTGACAACAACACCATCAATTGTTTTTAGGTCACGACAAGTCAATGCATTTACAAATTCTAAGCTAAACCGGGTTTGTCTCAACGGATAAAATAGTTGCAGCAAACTTATAAAGGAATTTAACTTGCTGTGACATTGTATATATATATATATATATATATATATATTTTTCGAACACTTTTAGTAAATAAATCCTGGAGTTGGGAAGTATTTACAAAGAATGCCATTGGTATTTATTATTACTTTTACAAAATTTAAATAAAAGATATTAACTAAACAATATCTTACCTAATTTGTTTCTAAAAATCTCTACACAATCTTTCCATATATCTTCAAAAAAATTTTTAGCAAATATATAAATTAATATTTTGCATAGCAATAAAATACTAATTTATAATAATCAAAATATTCACATAGAAAAATCATATACACATACAGGAAAAAGAACTATATCTATCATCATTTAAGCCGTTTCTTTATTTAAAAAAAAACACACACAAAAACTTGAAATCATATACTTTATATGATAAATTTAAAATATATATTAGTAGTATAAATTTAAAATCGTTCAAAGAACGGTATACCACGGGTGAGATCCTAAAATTATTAGATTTTATAACAATAATAATTTATTTTCTTGGATTTTATAACACTAATAATTTAGCTAACGAGATAATATAGACGGGTTTATATGGGATGACGGGTTTGGGTCGATATTAATAAATAATTGTATATCACGGATGAAATCCTAAAATTAACCATCAAAATACAATTATACAATCTTAAACACAAAACAATAGAAACAATATTAACAAAACAAATCCAACTTAAATTTAAAATTTTTAGTTATAAAAAAACGACCCACGGTATACTACAAAGTAAAATATTCAAAATTTTAAAATCCACCATACATCGTTACTTAAAAAAAATGTATGTTTTCGTATCTATACTTAAAAAATTGATAGATAGATATCTACATTTAAAAATACAAATGAATATGATATATATTTCAGTTAATTTTTATAAAAATAACATTACATTTTTTTTTATAAAATATAGCCCCGCGGTGTACCGCGGGTTAAATTCTAGTTCTTTAAAACTGTCTCTTAAAGAAAATCAGTATTATTCTCTTTTAAATAGCTCGTTTTAAGCCAGAAATTTAATATCTATCTCCAACATAGTTGCATTATCACCATTCACCAATTTGATCTCCTTTGCCGATAAGTAATGTATATAACTATTTTTGTATAAACATTGACTATAATCAGGCCCAATATGTTCATATACAAATTTAGTAACCTTCTCAGTCTTGCACGATATGTACACTTTTGTTTTTGTTTTTTACACGATATGTTTACTTAGAAAATGACTTATCATAATATACAGAACACTGTGTATATAAATATATCGGCCGCGCCAGATCAATCGAATATTTAGCACATTAATTATTATCATACAATAACAGAGTTTCACCATTTTCTTTTCAATATTTTTAGTTATTTTCTCAGTTTCTCTAATAACCATCAACTTTGTGTTATCTCTATCTGTGATTATGGCTTCCTCTGTTTCCACTGCTGGTACTTTATTCCAACATCCATACTTGTAATTAGTAATAAAGCCTCCTTATAATTAAATCTTAAAACGTTTTTGTGTGGGCTTGTAGAAGTGAAAGCTGTTCCAGAAAACTATAACTTCTTGCAAAGACATGTCGCCTTCTTCGACAGAAACAAAGATGGCATCGTTTATCCCTCAGAGACATTTCAAGGTATACGGTCTTGAAAGCTCTAATTTGTTCGATCAAAATGTCTTAAACCATCTTGTAAAGTTGTAATATCTAAAACCAGATTTGTATTAGAGATCTTTTGTCTTCTCACGTAACAGATTTATGTGCATGGCTGTTATATATGGTCATATACTCGTATCTTTTATATTGTAACCCAAAAGAAAAATAACTTTTATAGTTTTACTAATTTTATTGATGTAACATGACAAACAAACATAAACAAGAACAGGATTCAGAGCAATCGGATGTGGATATTTGTTGTCAACATTCGCTGCTGTGTTCATCAACATCAGTCTCAGCAGCAAAACTCGTCCGGTAAATATTGATCAATACAGTTCAAATTTAATTTCATATACGTTACATAAGAAAAAAAAGAATCAATGGAAGTGTTTTGGTTTCAGGGGAAAGGATTCTCATTCTCGTTTCCCATAGAGGTTAAAAATATCAACCTTGGCATACATAGCAGCGATTCAGGCGTTTACGACAAAGATGGACGGTATGATTATATCTTTGTAGGTAACTAGTGAATTTGAGAAATCTACATAATTTTTTTTTTTGTTAGGTTTGTGGCTTCGAAGTTCGAGGAGATATTTGCGAAGCATGCTCACACACATCGTGATGCTTTGACCAACAAGGAACTTAAAGAACTTCTCAAGGCAAACAGAGAACCTAATGATTGTAGAGGAGGGTAATTATCGAACCAGTTTGGTTTAATTTTATCTACACCAAAACCCGAAAATGTGATCATATGAATCTGAATAATCTATGTGAATTAAAATGGCAGGATTTTAGCGTTTGGGGAGTGGAAGGTATTGTATAATTTGTGCAAAGACAAGAACGGTTTGCTACAAAAAGAGACAGTGAGAGCTGTCTATGATGGTTCTCTTTTCGAACAACTCGAGAAACAAAGATCTTCTAAAACTCATAAGAATCATTCATAAATCCTAATGTAAATTCACTGTTATGCTCGTGAATCTGTTTTAGTTAAATCTTTAGTAGCTACAGTAATCTATGATGTGAAGATTGGGATGTGTTTGATTTTCTAGACATATATAGATTAATTGTGTACGTTAGTACGTATACTTGTAATCTTATATGATTGTATCTTATTCAAATAAAAGATTATATAATTTAATTTGAAGACGAACATATCTCAAATACGTTTAGTGATTGTAAGCAAAACCAGGTTAGTTCAATGGTTTCGGCTCAACAGATGAAAACGTTCCAGAGTTAAAAGAGAAAATTAGTAATGATAGATTCATGGGCTTTTGACAAGGAACAAAAATCTTATTAGGGACGTGTTTTATTTACAGGTGGCTTTTGTCTCAATCTAATTGGGCTGATTTAAGATATAAAGAATGAAAGCCCATAAGATCTGTTATTTTAGATTACAGGCCCACTCAAATATCAGATTTTAAAAAGGTACACAAACATTATTGACAAAAAATGGAAGAATACATCTAAATATTACCTTAGATGAAACAAATAAAAAGAAGACAGGATCAGACATAATGCTTATTGTGGTGTCTAATCTAACATAACATGTGTAATGTTACATTATTTTAGTTCACTTTTCAATAGAATGACTTTTGTTTAAAGGGACAGTATGTGGTAGCTAGAGGTGGGTGAGTTTAAAACCCTTTATTCCTCAATATAAATAGATCCTGACAAATTATATGTCCTAATCCATAACTAATCTACTTTCATATATGGCACTGATTAATTTCTTTATACACTTTCAGGATATACTTATAAGATATGCTCGAATATATAGCAACAATTGTAAACGAGTATCATATTATCAATAAGACTTTAAAAATAATAATAACCAGATTCTTACTAACCAATCATTGATGCGTAAGAAGAGAAAAGGTGGAAAAAAAATCATAATTATATCTGATCTTGCTATGAACATATTCATGTGAAAATAGACAGTAGACTTTGGGAAGAAGAGAAGTAAAACAGAGGAAAATTTATCTTGTCAGTTTGTGATATAGTAACTTTTGAATTCTTTGTTAATGATTTTATTAATTTTTTTACTTCTGTCCAGATTTTCTCTAAAATGAAACGGAATTTTTGAATGTAAACATAAGACGATCAATAGCATTTCAAAAGTTCATTCAAATCTATAATAGTCATATGGATATTGGATGTCTCCACTGATTTTAATAGGTATATAGAAATGCTGAAAGATTTCCACAAATTTTCCAGAAACATTATATTTTCCATTTGGAATTGAAGAACGAGTCAACTTAATTAGGTTAGTCTAAATTCAAGAAAATTATCGAGTGCGCAATACTAATTTTTATCATTATTTTCATGAAATGGACCTATGACTTCTTAGAAGTCAAGCACGAAATTACTCACCAAAAGTCCCTTAATATCTGTATTAATTTAATTTTCCCTAAATCTATACTTTTTCCATCGAAATGATTATGGATCCACCTGCTAACGAAGAAAATCAATACTTGGTTTAAAACCGAGTTATATTTTAATATGGTTCAAATAGATTTACTGAAAAATCAATATTATATTTCATTTTGAATACTATTTATCAAGAAGAACAAAAACAAAAACCCAAACTAAAAGCAAACAAAAATCCAGATATAACATTTCTAATCGAAATCAACAGTCAAATTATCAATCTTGGAACATTCTATAGATATTAAAGCTGTGTGTGGGTTAAAAAGAAGAGTTCCTTAAATATTAAAACTTTAAAAGTCTATTTGTGTGGGTTGTCCCTTGATCCGTTTAGTGGACAAATGATACAACTTCTAATCCCCTTTATCAAACTTTATCCGGTCTTTGTTTAGCTGTACTACTTTTCACTGATATCTTTTCTCTTCTTATGTTACGTGAAAATAAAATAATACTTTCGAAAGTAATATGATTGATCACTTCCACCATGCAATTAACAGAACTTTCTGCTCTCAATTATGTCTTAGTTATTATTTCAACTTCATAACTGAATTGAATGGATCCCTTATCAACAAAATGATTACTCTTGTATTGTTACATTATTGGCATTGTTTCGTTAATAATTAAATGTTCTAGTATCATAAATGTTTCCTTATATAGTTACTAGTTCATGTACTAAGTAAAAACATGTGTAGTATAAAAAACACTACATGCATGTTGTGATTAATTTATAGATAGATAGATAGATAGATTAACAATAAACTTTCTGCAGCCGTAACAAATACTACAATGGATTTTTTTTCTTAAAAGAATCAACTTCCATAAAAAGAAGAAGAAGATAGTATACTAAAGTCAATAACAATCTATATAGGCAAAGAAAAAGTCAATACAATCGAGGGTGTTGTGGTTTTAAGAACTAAACAAAAGTCGGTCAAATAACATTATTGTCTTCTCTAACTCTAATTCGTTCACCGGTCCCGTAACTGAACTTTGACGTTGGAAGCCTAGTTACTTGATTCATCTCATTATATTAATAAAAATATTAAAAAGATGATACAAGCCTTATATAAATATGTATAACATCTCGACCACCACGCCAATATCCCTATCTACATAAATAAAATTTTCATCTTCTAAAATCATTTTCAAGTACCATTGCCTATCCAAACTCTATACGCTATACTACATGTAATAAATTAATGACCATAACTCGTTTTCCTGACGTATACGTCGTTCATTACTCGGTATTATTCATATCGATTTTGTTTCTTGATAATAAAGAAAAACAAAAAAAAATTCACTATTGTCAATATTAATATATATGCAAACAGCACACACAAATAATGCTATTAGAAGCTTCGTCCTATCATCTTGTATAAGACAGAAAAACTATATTTTTGTCTTTGTGATTATATATACTTGTAAAGAAGTTAGTTTGTATCAATCTCGTGGAAATTCCGATCGATTTGGCCTTTTTATATATACGCATTCGAACTACACCATACTATAAGAAACTCCTCAACTTTATTGCCTTCTTGGCTCATAGTATGGGTAATTATTAAGTAATAATGGTAGAAAGCTTATAACGAATTCACACAAGTCACTGTCAAAATAATAAATGAATTCAAATGAGTAAGAATTACTATTATATTTAACAAAAAAGAAAGTTGTAATGGACATTAAATCGACGCACATTGCCAAATTCCACATTAAAGCTTTTAAAAAAAAACTCTGAACGAAGAAAGAGTTGCAATTATTTTAGTAATTTCAATGATATGGAACTTGCAAATTGTGGAAATTCTTAAGAACGTCCCTAACCAAAAAAAAAAACATGCAACATGGAACCACATATAAGAGTACCCTTCTTTACGTTAATTCTCTTTAAAGCAAGTCTTCTATCTTCAACTTCTTTTTATACCAAATCATCACCTCTCTTTGTCGATCTCTCAAAAGAAAAAGAAACCATGTTGAAGACAAAGACGACGTCCCTTCTCTGTTTCCTTCTCACCACCGTCATACTAATGAACCCATCTTCCTCCTCTCCCACGGACAATTACATATACGCCGTTTGCTCTCCGGCGAAATTCTCACCTAGCTCCGGCTACGAGACAAATCTTAACTCTCTCCTCTCTTCCTTCGTCACCTCCACCGCCCAAAGCCGCTACGCCAACTTCACGGTTCCCACAGGGAAACCGGAACCAACCGTTACCGTATACGGCCTTTACCAGTGCCGCGGCGACCTAGACCCAACCGCCTGCTCGACGTGCGTATCAAGCGCCGTCGCACAGGTTGGAACCTTATGTTCTAACTCATATTCAGGGTTCTTGCAGTTGGAGAATTGTCTGATCCGTTACGACAACAAATCGTTCCTTGGGGTTCAAGACAAAACGTTGATCCTCAACAAATGTGGACAGGCGATGGAATTCAACGACCAGGATGCGTTGACCAAAGTTAATGACGTCATCGGTTCTTTAGGTTCCGGAGATGGACCTTACAGGAACGGTGGCAACGGGAATGTTCAAGGTGTGGCTCAGTGCTCCGGCGATCTAAGTACATCACAGTGCCAAGATTGTTTGTCTGATGCAATCGGACGGCTCAAAACTGATTGTGGAATGGCTCAGGGAGGATACGTTTACTTGTCGAAATGTTACGCGCGATTCAGTGTTGGTGGTAGTCACGCGCGTCAGACCCCAGGCCCAAACTTTGGTCATGGTCAGTCTTCCTCTAAACTTATTTTAACTTAGCTTAATAAAAATTAAAAAGTCGTAATCAGCAAAAAAATAAAGGAAAAAAAAAACACCTTTTAACGTAACCTTATAGATGACAATCTCTCTAGTCAAGTGCTGGATTATGAAAATTTTATATATTAGACTGATTTTAACATTTAGTTTAATTGTTTATACTTGTGTATGACGCTCAATATTAAACCCATAAAATTCATAGTGTTGACCAAAAATTTATGAATATTATACATTTATACTTGATGGAGAAAAACTATATTAACTTAGAGGTGGATGGATAGTTTAAAATTTTATTTATTTATTTGGCAGAAGGAGAAATGGGCAATAAGCATGATGATAATGGAGTGGGGAAAACATTGGCGATAATAATAGGAATCGTCACCTTAATCATCTTGCTCGTCGTGTTTCTCGCTTTTCTTGGAAAGCAATGTAGAAGATTACAAGGTATTTATAAATTTAATTTTCCCTTTTTTTCTTGTTCCTATATCAATTATAAAATCTAAATTACTATGTCTATGCATTTTGTAGATGAGAAATGGTGTAAATGAGAGGAAAAAATGGGAAAGGGATCAATCAACAACTCGAGTAGAGCCACTGCTAGTTGTATTTTTGTAATATTTTTTGTTTTCCCTCATAAGATGTACGTAGTTATAGTATATTAATATAGTACATATACATATATGATTGTATCTCCGAAACGATTTTTGTATAATTGTCGGACTTATATAGGCCAAATCGATATCTTCTTTCTTTGATGTGAATGAAACATTCGATTTGGTTTCTTATAAAGGCCATTGTATAGTTTTTATTTTTGTTTTATAACTTAGTTAAAAGTATTATAATAGTGTTTAGATTTTTTCCACGAAGAACTCCGTCTCCGATCATTGCATTTGTTGGGTAAAAAAAAATTATATTATCTAACTATGCTTTACACCACAAAAATCCTAGGTCCGGGCCTGAATGTTAGATATGTTAACGTGTCGAGAATAATGGAACAAAATAAACGGAATATAGGATAGATATACAAAACAAAATCATTTTGCTCGTCCTATTGCGAATGTCTGAACGAATCTTTTCTTCTTATTCATCATTATTTATTCTCATATTGTCTAAAGAACTCATTTGAAGACTTGGCCTAATATGCTTTAATCATTAAAAATGATAAATTTAAAATTGGCCAGCTGATTACCAAATGGTCTTAGGAATTTGAAAGACCAACTAACGTCTAATTCTTTTCCATATTTTTATTTTCTGAAATTCTGAATGTACTGCCAATGAGAGATTGCTTCATAACCAGGTTTTTCTTTTATAAATTATTACATAATCAATTACATGTATCTGTTTGAAACTCTCGATTTATAAGATAAAACTGTTCTCAAATGATATTTTAATATGATATAACTTATCAAAGATTTAAAACTTTCACGTATTAATTTACAAAAGTTCACTCAAGTTCTTCATTGGTTTAGTTTTGATATGTAAGTGGATTTAGCCAAATCTATAGTGGACAGTGTTAATGTAAGTTGGGCCGTAAACATAATTATGGGCCTTAGATAATCAAGGAAACTTCTTTCAGCCCATTGAGCATCCTCGTGGTTTAGCTATTATAAATCCAATAAGTGACACTTTTTGCCTCTACGAAAGAGTCTCGGCTTATCATTTCATTTCTTATAGTTGAATACTTTTCAAAGAAAGAAAAAAATGAAGTGATAAATACCAAACCGTTGCATAAGAAAAGCAACCACACCTTTTACATGTGTGAGATCACGAAGAAAATATCCAATAGCCAAACTAAATTAATTCACCTTTGAAAAACATTTAAATAAAACATGCACTAATAAACAAGAGCCACCGACGGATGTCTAATTGAATATGGTCCTCAGAAATAAAAAAAAATCAAAAGAATAAACACGTGGGAATTAACCGGTGTAGCCTGTAGTACCAACCGTTAGTTCCCGGTCAAAAAAATGCCCCACATGCTTTAATCAAGCAAGCCTTTAAAAACAGGAAAAGCAAAGAGTTAAATAGGCCTCTCCAAAAGTGTGTAACATTACCAAAACAAAACCTTCCTTGTGGATTCCCACTTCTTTCTTCTGTGTTTTTCTTCTTTCTTTAAATTTAAATGATTTGGGCACAAACAGAGAAAGAGAGAGAAGTAAAAATTTGAGAGTTTGTCATTGATTTGGTTTGCAATGGAAAGAGATTTTCTGGGTTTGAGCGACAAGCAGTATCTAAGTAATAACGTTAAGCATGAGTTTAACGATGATGGTGTCGGAGAACGAGGTTTGTGTTCTTGTCTCAATGATCTTTTCTTTTAATGTTTCAAGAAGAGATCAGTTTTAGCTTTTAACATAGCCGTATATAAAGCAGAGATATATCGTTCAAAAGTTGTTTTATTTAAATATAATCAGATTCCAAAACTTAAAAAGATTCCATTAAATATTTTATAAAAGTGAGGATTGGCCTTAAATTGATGTCCATAAAAATTGATATTTTAGGGTTGAGTACGAAGGCAGCTAGACAATTGGGGAAGGCAAAGGTTTTTGCTACTTCAACTTTCATGCCTGCTTCAGATTTCCAGGTTGGTTTAACTTAAAATTTAATTCAGTTTATATTATTTAAGGTTTGGTTTCAGAATTGTAACAAATCTGTGAATATTTCTGTTATGCCTAATCTTATGTTTATGGTCGGAAAACTGGCCGAGAATTTTTGAGAATTTTCATTTTTGTGTATGTGGCCAATCATTAACCATAAAAAAAAAAAACCAAAAAAAATTGTATTGATAAGTGCAAGTTAAGAGCTGGTAGGGTCGGTCGTTTGCCAGCCGCAAAGTTAGTTAGGGGAAAAATAATATAAAATTTTGTGGCGTTTGGTGTTTGGCGTTTGGATCACGTTTATTTCTTGGCATTTTTGATAAAATTAGAATGTAAAATTTTTAAAGATGTTGACGTTTAAAAATTAGGAGTCTAAGGCGTTTCCGGGTGCATACCAGTGGGGATCAGTTTCTGCGGCCACCATTTTCCGCAGAGGCCAATTCAGCGGTGCGTTTCAGAACGCATCGCCGCTTTTACTAGGAGGATCAGTTCCTTTACCAACTCATCCTTCCCTTGTTCCACGGTAATTTCGATATTTTCATGCTAAAGAATTCAACAAAATATTATTAATCGTTTCATATTTTAATTTGGTTATGGGCTTTGTGGAAACAGAGTGGCTTCCTCAGGATCATCTCCTCAGCTCACTATCTTTTATGGCGGAACTGTTAGCGTCTTTAATGACATATCTCCTGATAAGGTATATATAATCAAGATTCATACATATAACATTTACATATCATTGACATGTTCTAAAATGGACTATTGATGATATGTGACTAGGCTCAAGCCATCATGTTATGCGCGGGGAACGGTTTGAAAGGTGAAACTGGAGAGAGTAGCTTGAAGAAACAACAACCAATTCGCGAAGTTGAAAGAGTGTATGGAAAACAAATCCATAACACTTCTGCTGCTGCCTCATCAAGCTCTGCCATTCACACTGATACTTACTCAAGATGTAGGGACAACCCCGTTGCTACGACTAATGCAATGAGCATGATCGAATCATTCAATGCAGTTCCTGGTAACATGATTCCTTCAGGTATATCTAAAATATCAATATGAATCCAATCATTATATATTCAAGACTTTCATTCCACATATCATATGTCTAAACTCAAAAATTGCTTATTTTCAGTTCCTCAAGCTCGGAAAGCATCCCTAGCTCGGTTCTTGGAGAAGCGCAAAGAGAGGTTTGATACATGTCTTTTCTTAATAAAAACTTGAGTTTTTCGATTGAATCTAAAAGAATTGAATGTTGTTGGTCCAGGCTTATGAGTGCAATGCCATACAAGAAGATGCTTCTTGATTTGTCGACCGGAGAATCCAGTGGAATGAATTACTCTTCTACTTCTCCTACCTAAAACCTACACTTTTTTTTTCTCAAGTTTTTTTTTTACAATGGTAATTTGTAATTTTAATCATTAGATTATGGTTATATAGTTACCATTTATATTCTTACGAGCAGGAGAAGGCGTTAGGGCGTCTCTGTATTTGATCATTGTTTGTAATGCTTTGGTTTATTATTGTAGGATTACTTTATAACCTTAAGAACTAACAGATATCTGTTTGTCATTTCTGTCAAGAATTTAAGATCGAATAAAATTCACTATTGTTAGTATTTATTATTTTGATTATCACAAACACACTTCATTAACTATATATGAATACTTAATTGATTTATACGAAAATAATATTGGAATGCATCGCCAAAGAGGATACTAGCAAATTGCCTAAGATGATATATTTATTCAGCCAAACAAAAAATTATATATTTTCAAGGGAATATAAATGTTTTAAATAGCTTTTTAGTGAAACAGAGAGATTCTCTTCACAAGTGAAAAGATCTTATAGATATTTTTATTTATTGAGGCAGACAAATTATCGTATGAAAGTAATTAATAATGGTGAAGGAGATGCACATAAGCAAAAGTTTGGTGAGGAGGACAAAAAAAGAGCTTAACCTCTAAATTCATCACCTAAAACACGTTCATATTTATGAGTGGATAAGAACGATCGTCGTCGCCTTATCATTTTGCATATCCTCTTCCTCTCGCTCGTGTATATGTTGTATCATCATTTACTCACTTGTCCTTTCATGCCCCCACCAACTTGTGCAATTTGAACTACCACTACACAAATCAAAAGTTCTTTGTTGGGGCTGATTTTGGTCCGTTTGTGTTTAGATTGTTTCATGAATTGATGGATTAATTTATGATTCCCAACACTCATTTTATGTTATCTCCTTCATTCTCCATTCAAAAAAGTAAGTACTCTGCTTCATATTTTTTAACATGTGAGTGGGTGAGTGTCTCATATTGTATTTTGAATTAGTTTACATCATTTTTATATATTTTTGAAGAACCAAGGTTTTTTTTTTCTTTCTTATTTAATTATCTATTAGTATAGAGTACATTTTTACACAACACAAGACAAGGACATGGATACTGGACATGAATATATATCTGCGACCAACAATCTAACATATATTATCCAAAAAGATAATTGTCTTGCGTTTCAAAGTACAATTTTGAGATAAACCCTGAATTTGTTTCTTCCTTTTACGGTTTGTGGTTCCCAAAGATATATGTATCAATCATCCATTGGTTATAATCATATGAAGATATATGTATCAATCCTCCATTGGTTATAATCATATAAATTAGGTCTGAAATGTACATCCCTTATAAAAAGAAAAACAAAATTTTAGTTAGAATCAAAGCGTCTATTGTGAAATAGAATTTTAGTTATGAATATCTTGGATACTGTGAAGAAAAACGTCTATTGTTTTATGACATCATAATTATAATACTATGTAATAACAGGTTTAAATATCACAAAAGTATGAAACAAACAATATATAAATTCTCGAGTTTCAAAATGGTTTTGAAAAATAGTTATTTTGTATTATAATGGAAAACATTTTTTTTTTTTTTTTTTTTTTTTTTTTAGTTTTCAAGTATAACAATATAACATATTCAATTTAGAACAAACTACATAGCACTTGAAATAAAGATAATAAAAATAACTGATTGATTAAACTCACATAGAATTTACATTTCTTAAAGTTTTTAGTAAATTCAGGTCTTGCTTGTTTTTATATAAACGATTTGAATGCTTGTTTACGCATCCCTACAATTAGAAGCCCAGACAGCTTCATCCTACCTGCTCTCCTCAAGACCACCCCTGGCCCAAGGCATTGCCCTCTTTTTTTTTGTTTGTCAACAAACACTACAAGGCATTGCCATCTATGAAGAGATTTTATCATTTTAGATATTTGTAAATTCTCCAACAATTTACGCCACATGTAACAACAATTGCATAATATCATTCAATTAAACTAAAGAAAAACGAAGATGAAAACATGTAGATATCGAGGAGCCTAAAAATCAAAACCCATTTCTGACATTTGCACTGAACTAATCCATATTGAGGTCGTTACAACGAATTTTTTTTTCAAGTAATTTAAAGGTTGTTACGGTGCGCACTTATATGGGCCTCATTAATGGGCTGATGACTTCTTTCTTTTTGTCACCAATGGGCTGACAATAAGAGTGGTAACGGTTTTAACCTTTTCACAATATCTTTTCAATTTAGCGTTTTTATTAGGACAACAAACAAATAATGATTGTTACGTTTACGAATTTAGTTAGATGATAAATTTAATAGGTCACTGGTCTTCTATTTGCAAAAAAGTAATGACGGTGCAAAGATAAGTTTAAACACTGACACAACTCTTTCTCTTCTTCACTAATTACGGGCTTACAATACAATTGGTTAAGTAGTAGAAAATAAAAGAGTGGCAATAACATTAATAATATAAAAAAAAGGATTTGGGTGGCCTAAAGTTTTCCAGCACACCTCTAAAGGAGAGATAGTAAATAATAAGACCATCGCTCATCGCCAAGAAGAATGGGCGGAGAAGTAACCGAGAAGGCCGACGAGTGGTGCATTGATGTAAGTCGTTGGCTCGGACTGCTGAAAGTAAGGTCTTGAATCTGGAAAAGCATCGGTGACATTAGGTCCACCGACTACAGCACCAACCAAAAGGTTTGGGTTAGGATTTGGGCTTAGGAAATAGCGAGAGCCTTCTTTGCACCCTATATGGCTCGGATGGGCTGAAACCGAAGGAACCGAGCTGCCGCGGTGATGAATCCTACGTGGAAACTTTTGACCGTATCCAACCATGTAAGACAATCCCATCGGGTTGTCTCCGAGAATGTAATCCACCTGTTCACACATATCACAAACAAAAGGCTTTGGTCCCAAATAGCAAAACGGCTATGTTTTTTGTTTTTTTTGGTCTGAAATTTGGGACCAATGTTTTTTTTTAAAAATCTCTTACCTGACGCTTGGCGATTTGACGGAGGAGAGATGGGGAAGCAGTTAATTCGCCACAAGGCACAACCTTTTTGGCATGGCTCAGATAATTAGAGTAAGCCAATAGGAGGAAAGATAGTGATGTTACATGTTGCATGTTACTCCCTCCAGTCTTCACTAGTAACCCTCCTGTGTATGTAAGACAAAAATATATCAGATTACTACTAATTAATTAAATTATAAACATAGAAAAAGTTTTGGGAGGAAAAGACAAAAGTAAATCACGTGAATGTGGGAAAAAGTACTTTGATATTGAGAAAAAAATGATGGGTTTTTGTATTATTACCTCGAGAGTATTGGACTTGAGGGTGAGAAATTCCAGGCAATATAGAACAGATAAACCCATCTGCGTTTTGCTTGAAAGACTCAAAATACTCGGCTTTTCCCATTAGCACTTCCTGTAGTTCAAAACAAGAAGCCAAAAAACACTATAAAGACAAGACTAATATAAATAACAAGAAAGATCAAGGACCTTGACACAGAGCGCCATGTGAAAAACTGAGATGGTGAAAGGGCCTTTGACAAATCAATTTGATAAAAAAAAAGAGACCGTTGAGAAATGACAAAACGAAAAAACCCACTTAGGCTTTTGCAGCAGAATGGGAACTGGTAAGGGACACGACACTTTATTTATTTTTCTCAGCCTTTTGAGTTTTGAGCCACATGCTTTGTAACAGTAACCAAAGACTTCTTTACCCTTTCCCTCTTTTACTGTCCCCACTTGACCCAATAGGCCTGATACTCTGATTCTGATACTAATAATAATGTTTGCTATATACCTTAGTTATTAAATACTCTAGTCTATCCAAAACCACAAATAGGAGGTTTACTCATGTGATACACCACATGCAAACTCACAAAATCATACTGTATACATTTCACCTACCTACATTGGATTATCAAGTTTCTATATATTATATAATATAGATATATGCGAGAAATGCACACTTTTTTTATCCATTCACTAGTCAAGTAGTCATGGATCATGGGTCCATGTGAGGCTCTGGCTTCCAATTGGTAATGTTATATTATTAAAATTATATGAAGCCAAATCTAGGAGGCATGTTGAGCACACACTGGACAAAAAAAGGGGAATGTCCAATGAGGTATGTCTTACCTTAAGATTTAGCTCCCACATCACATGACCTTTTCTAATTGGCTAATTCCCATTATTCATCATGTGCAAGGTCCAATCATCCATCCCCCATTTTATCTTCTCTAATTTAATATCCCATATAATAAAGCATGACTCTAACATGACCTAGTTTTCAAACCACTTTTATGTGTCTATATATCTAAACAAAAGACTCGATTGGTTCACACATCTAATCTAAGCCGGTTTGTTCCAAGATATTGAAGCACATATAGAAGATCAAAATAACTAGATAGGTCATAGGACATATAATTGAAATGTGAACCCCACTTCCAATTATATGATCAAAAGTCGTGCCACAAACACGTGATATACCAGACACAACCATCTCTCTACCTATGTTTAATTTAATTCTTATACATTAGTAGTCCCCTTGCAACCAAACAAACGTATGAAAAAAAAAAACGCCACTCTTTCCCTAAAACCTTGCTAATTCCACACAAAATCTTTTGACACATGATTATAAGCAAACAATCAATGCGCACCAAAAACCATGCAATATTGACCAGAAAAATAATTGAATAATTTTAAGTGATATTTACCTTGGAGATTAAGACATTAATCCCAGCATGCTTATTGTCCCAACCAAACTCATTAATGGTATCTCCAGCCTTAAGAATCACCTCGTTCTTCACAATGAATTCTCTGTACGCTCGTTTCCTCGAGGCTTTGTGTAGCCACGCAGCTCCCCACAGTAACTCATCCTGCACCACCATCACATGTCAGTCAAATTCACCATTTATCATCCAACGGCTGATACTAAAATAGGTAACTAAAAAAGTAACTATAATTACCTGGTAACCGTTGAAATCACAGTAAAAAGGACAAACCGCGTGGTAGAGACTGTTACTGTACGCGCCGCGATATCTGTTAGCAAACGCGAATACCTGCGACCACGTTACAACATTTTTACTTCAGATCCGTGAGTTTTTGATATATCTTCTCTACGTCAGATAAAATATTTATTCAATAGTACATATACGTAAGAAAAATACTCAAAACAAAGTCAAATTATTAAAAACGAATCATAGAAATGGACCAACTATAAACAAAAAAAAGTAATGAACAAAAAAAAAACAATTATTATGAATGCATTTGGAGACGAATCTCTTATCTCACAAGCAAAGAATAATTGATTAAAATTAAAAACTTTTTGACTATCAAAGAAAAAAACAAAGAGAATAATATTAAAAAAATTTGCTTTAACGGCCACAGTCTTAACAAATTTTGGTTATGATAAAAATTAATTACCACAATCAATGCTATGTAATATGGTTAAAGTGTGAAACAGAGTAACGTTACGTACCCTAGTGGCACGGTCAAGAAGAAGTCTGGAATAAGAAGGATCGCGTTTTCTAAAAACGATTGAAGCGGCGGCTAAAGCGGCTGCGGTTTCACCGGCGACGTCAGAACCAGGATGAGCTCTATCGATTTTGTAAACAGTACGAAGAGTGTCCATATCTTCAGGTCTTTCCCAACAGTTATGATCAGAGTAAGCGTCTCCGACTTGGACGAAAACGACTCCGGGAATCGCCGTCGCTTTTAGGAGGTAATCTGTTCCCCATTTGACAGCTTTCACGGCGTTTTTAAGCTCCGGTCCCATGGTTTTACCGAAATCGATTATACTCCATGAAAGCATCGTTGTTGTGAAGGCCATCGGAAAACCGAACTTGATGTTGTCTCCGGCGTCGTAGTAACCTCCGGATAAATCAACCTGAGATTTTTTTAGGGGAAAAGTGAGAAATTAGGGTTAAATATCGTCGGAAAACAGAGATTAGAAGAAGAAGAAGTTTGAAATGTATGTAACTAGACTTACGCCGGCGGAGGAACCGTCGCGTAATGCTGAGTCACGGCGCCATTTTAAGCGTTGATCTGGTGGGAGTTTACCGGAACGTTGACCTTCGAAGAAGAGAATGCTTTTACGGAGAGCGTCACGGTAATCGTGTCCGGCGGAGTAAATCGGAGGAGAAAAAAGAAGAACGGCGAGCAAAACCACCGGGAAAATTAGGGATTTTCGCGCCATTCTTTTTCTCTGTTTTTTGTGCTCTTCTTTTTTTGTTTTCTGTTAGTGTGAGTGAGAGAGAAGGTGATAGGACCAACGAAGGGGCTCTTTATACTAAAAAGGTCCTCTTGGATTCCAGATTTAGAGCCAATGAATGGTCACCACGTGGAATTTGTTTATTGGATGTAGCTCCATGTTAGATTGGGTATGGAGGTTTGGATTCCGAGGCGAATTTTGGATTGACCGGGTTTGAAAAACCGGTTGGACCGGGTGGGTTATTGGATTCGGGTTTTAGGGTTTTTTGAGGATTTAATGCGAACGGTGTGGAAGGAGTGGTACGCCGTCGGTGTACGGTGAGAAAATCCAAAATTGCAAAATAAAAAAAGTTGAAATCTGTGAAATGAATTATGAAGAAAGTTAAAATAAAAGTGGAATTTTTACCATGTGACCCACCGCCCTATTGGCAAGCGACACGTGTTTTGATCTCAATTAGGTGGTTTTGGAGTTTTGTGATTAATTTTTTTTGCTTTTTCCTCTTTTTAACCAAGACATAATTAGTAAAATCGCTATTGAATTTTGATTTATGTTTCCCCATTAATTTAGGCTTTTTTGGACCTACAATTAGAAAAAAGATTCCATCAGCCATGAAATTTTATTTGATTTATTATTACTCAGTTTCTTGTTTCTTCAAACTTGTGGTTGAGATTATGAACATCTTAAAACTCGATGTATATAGTAACGTAATAAATTTTTAGCTAAGATCCAAATTTCATCGATTGCAATCTGTAATCCACTTACTCATGTGATGTATAAATGGACAAGACATCTTGCATTTGGTTGATTCGAGTGTGAAATTATTATATAGTTTTTTTAAAAAAGAAAAGTTTATTGTATTCTTCTTCATTTTTATGGGAAAGCTATTATATTGCTAAGTATTTCGTTTTATGTTCTTTGTGTGCCTTATATTATGATGATTCAGAACACAGTCAATCTCATTCTATATATATAATGAGGCATTAAGCATATAGCATTGGTGCTTAAGGATACGAGTTCTTACCATGCATTGGAAACAAAAGAGGTTCCTAAGAACGTATAAGAGTAATAAAGAACATTTATCTATCATCTAAGCACATTATCGATTTAAAAGACCGCTAACATTTTATATGTTTTGGTTTAAAGTATCAAAATCGTGAGATTTGTTCATAGTCAAGGTAAAGGTTAATTAATTAGTAGACAAAAGCATAGACAAATGCTAATTTAGTATATATAAAAAATTTCAATAGAATATATAAAATTTTAAACAAAAAATAGCCTCATGCATGGGCATGGCACATGAAAATGCTAATCATTGTATCATTCACAATTGCTAATAACTCCAATTAAACGTCTTAATAATTAATGAGATAGCTGGAAATCATAGAATCATTAACATGAATTTATCAGTATTAACGACAAAGCGACATACATTACTATGTCCGCGTGATGAATGAATCATCTTTATCCAATTTAAAATCTCCGCATAGTACGGTTAAAATGAAATTATGCTTTGCAGTTTGTTGCACACAAATAATAAGAAACACAAAAGGCCAAAAACTTATCCGACGCCGTTTTTGGTGGAAAATCTCTCCAAAATGGTCATGATTAATGGGTACGAATGGTGTTACGGGGTTGACAAATAATATATAGCCTAAAAGGATTGTTGTAAATAGTGCTGGTGCATGTGATCGATCCTCTTCGCTGTATTAGCCACGTAACTTTTGAAAACTTTTTTTTTTGGAAAAAAGATGGCTGGCTACACGAAGTATCCGCGAAGACATGGCCACACATGCAAAGTTTAAAAATGTATCTCTAACTACACAAACTATATGTATCGCATGCCCACATGAAAAAATTTGAATATTTATGTTGGTCAACGCCGGTCAAACTGGTCAATACCGGATTCCGGCGAAAAGTGTACCGGAAAAAAATGTTCGTGATGTTGGCGACATGACTACATATAGTTCGTATATGTGGGCATGCGATACATATAGTTCATGTAGTTTAGGATCCATTATTAAACTTTGCATGTATGGCCATGTCTTCGCGGATACTTCGTGTAGCCAGCCATCTTTTTTCCTTTTTTTTTATTCTCACCAAAATTATTTTTGTTTTTTCCTCAAGCAAAATTATTTTGCCAAAAGAAAGAAATGGACGGCCAAGAAAAAAAGAGAACAGAAAAAGTAACAAGGATGTTATGTTACCGTGATGTCTTTAAATCCGCCTCAAGTTTAGGCCGATTGATTAGTGTCTTTGGGTCATCTTAATTAGCGTAGACAATAAGTTCTTGTTGTATTTGTTTGGACCAGTTGATTCAATAAGTTTTATGGGATATTTGAGGAACATTGTTGTTCTACATCCAAAAATGTATATATAGTCTCTACGAATTTGTATCTAATAGCTAAAAAGAAACCTAAGAGATCAAAACTTTTGTATAATAGGTTAAAGATCTATATACTGGTGGTTTGGATCAAACAATATCAAAATAGAAAGTAATTAAAGCGATGAATTTACAAGTAGAACTAAATATTTACGATTCTAATTAACTGTTCAAATTACTTTCACTCATATATATGTACTACATGTTTATTTAAGAAATATATCTAATCGCAAAAAAAAAAAAAATCATGCTCATTAATGAATGGAATAACCAAGATGGTGAAGGTAGTTGTGTGATCGAAATAAAAATCCAATGTATTTTTTGGACCAACCGTAATCTGATACCGAGATACTATATCACAGAATAGATTATTTGTTCATTTATCGGTGATATGCATGAACCATCATATGTTCGTTGCCACTAGCGTTCCTATAACATGATAGGTCCATACATTTATTCCTTATGCACCATCTTGGAAGAAACTTATGATAAGTCTCAACATACTGATCAATGAGAACAAATGTTGGTAGTTTGAATACAAAGTAACCATAAAAAAGAAACTTGTTTAGGAATTAGGACTGCTTGTTGTGGTGTATCATTAGGATCTTAAGAGTTACGTCTCTGTTCAAATATATATGGGCTTATTGGCTCAACAAAGCTATTTAGCCTGTGCGTTGTGTCGGATACAATTTCAAATCAAAGAAACTAACTTCTTTTCATATGATAAGTTTTTTTTTATTGGAATTCGGCCCGGCCCGGCCCACTAAACATGCATGCAGACAATTGTTGGCAGAGATATTTGTTCACCTCCAAACTCAACCTCTAAATTTTTTCTTTATAAAATCTGATATTTTTCAAAAACCCTATATATAACTCCAAAAGGAAGGCTCATGAATCCAAAAGAGCCAAACACATCACACAATAATATGGTAACAATGATGAGACCTATTCTCCTTATACTTCTTTTATCCTCCCTTCTTCCACCAATCCTCACCGTTGATCCCCCACTCCCATCATCCAACGGCTCCGATTTCATCCGTACAGCCTGCAACACCACACTCTACCCGGACCTTTGCTTATCCACTCTCTCCTCTTTTGCCAACTCCATCCAAAATGACTCGAACCGCCTCGCACGTGTAGCCATCTCCCTCACTCTCCACAACACTCTCCACCTTCTCTCTTACCTTCAAAACGCTTATAACCGCGACCACCCAACCCCCGTCCTTAGAGACTGCTTCGAGAATCTGAAAGATGCCGTCGACGATATGAGAGGCTCGATGAAACAGATGAAGGAGCTTGTCTCCGCGTCTGGCTCGGTCGAGTCATTTAGGTTCCAGATGAGCAATGTCAAGACTTGGCTTAGCGCAGCCCTCACTAACGAGTATACTTGTACCGACGGGTTCAAAGACGTCCACGAAGACGACTCCATCAAAGATGACGTCTGCTCTCGAGTCGATGTCGTCAAGAAGCTCACTAGCAATGCGCTCGCTTTAGTTAACCGCTATGCCGACGAGTCAGTAATACATTAATTAATAATATATCAGTCATTGATCGTTCGAGTCTTTCTTTATCCTGAAAATATGAATTTTATACTTATATATAATATCTTGATAAATTAAAATTACTACTCGTTGTTGCATGTAATACTGAAACTATATGTGAGTTTTTCTTGGTTGTTAATATATTTTTTGTCGAAGTTATTATTTACTTGGATTTATTTCAGTTTTTGCAAATAAATGAAAACAGCGGTGTTAAAAAGAATCAGGTTCTTTTCGTTTTTCTTCCATTTCAGTTGCCGTTTTAGGATTTCTTTAGATTATTTTCTGGTATAAAAAAGTACGTTAAGAGAACGTGATAAATAAATAATTGAACATAAATTACAACTCTTATAAATAAGATTCTTAATTTACTTTATTGATGAAGAAGCCGATGCATAATTGATATTGCATGCATGCGCTGTAACTCCACTACTCCTCGGGAGTTTATATGATAGAATACTCGGTTTCAAATATATATTGTCGAACACTGAAGTATCGCTCACTTTTCATGTTTTTTAGAAACTAAAAAGCTTCAACGAATATGAAAACATTATTCATTAGATTTCCCCATCAAGCCTGAAAGTGGAAACATATTCTTCACTTCTCCTGAATTGATTATTGTAGTAAAAAGGATAGTAAGAAATGATCGACATGATCGAAATATCGAATTTTCTCCAGAGACTAACAATTAACAACTAGAAGTGTCTATTATGGATAGAAAAAAAGCATATTGATTGTACTTGGCCTATGATTTTCCATGTATATAAAATAGCTAACCATCAACTTTATGTATATAAGAAATTGATGGTTAGCTAAAGCATCAGTCATTGTTGAGACAAAAGTCTAGTTAAAGACAACAAATATGGAGAAAGGACAAAGGAAGAATGCCTACACTGGGAGGAGTGTTTGGATGGTAATGATGCTTCTCTTGTCTTTTGGATTTAAAAACCAAATAAAAGAACCCGTGAACCTTGACTCATCTTTCTTTTTCATCTAACTGATAACCTAACCATTCTATTATATAGCTCGTGGATTCTCCAGGGATTCGGGTGTTAACAAAAAAAATTGTCATGATAACAAACGTGGCACAATCTGATTCGTGAAATTCATGCCCAACATTAGTTCTTAACTGTCAGAAAGTTTTTGTTGGTCAAGCTCACGAGACAGATTATAAACATCTGTCTACTGGCTTGTCATCACCATCTCTCGGGTCCAATATCTATAGTTGTACACCGTAGGTATCAGTTATTGTTGGATCGCTTTTTCTCTTGCTACGTCTCCATCTGCCACACATGCTCCAACGTTGAGGCATTCTTAATTTTATTTGGGGGGAGTTCAACAAAGCAAAATTCAATTGCCAACCTAATGTATTTTCCATTAAGATAGATGTATAGTAATAACCCAAACTCATAAGAAGTGAAGTTGGAATGATAGTATTGGAGATAGCATCGTCTGAAAGCTGTCTTATGTAATAACAGTTGGTGATGATCGGCCGGTGAACTCTTGCATTTTCGACAGCTTTAAAGCAACATCAACCTGTGAAAAATCAGACATCAACAATTGGTGTTAAATAAACATGAAAAAGATTGATTATGCGTATTTAAGGTATCTGAGAATCTGACCAAAGGAGCAAGAGTATCCTGAGAATCTCGGCCGATCTTTGAGGCGTCCTTTTCATACTGTTCAATGTAGAGCCTTATCGTTGCTCCTTCTGAGCCAGTTCCCGAGAGACGGAACACCTTTGTCACAAAGGTAAGAAAGCCCGGATTAGCTTTTACAATTTCACAAGTTGTTGAATTGTTACTGTGTTATGAAAATCCATTTTAGATATATCGACTTACAAGTCGTGATCCATCCTCGAATAAGTATCGGATCCCTTGGTGCTTTGAAACAGAGCCATCTACTGGATCTTTGTACTCGAATTCATCTGCGCTTGCAACATTTGCAACCTCCGGATGAATTTCCTTTATAATCCTGACCAATTATCCAAGAACGTGAGTCTGAAAGTCATTCAAGTAAAAAAAAAAGGAATGGATTTGAAAAGAAGTGGAGAGAGATACTTGTTGACTTCAGGAAGTGAAGATTGCAACTTAACCAAGAGCCCCATGAGTTCTTTAGCTTTAGTTGCGTCTACGTTCTTTGGAGGAGATATTTAGAAATTGGTTACAAGGTAACTGTTTATTCTACATATTGTCTATAACCCAATAATGGAATTTGTCAGTTTTACCTCATAGTCGTATCGAGTGTAATAGTGACGGCCATAAGTAGCCCAGTGCTGGCGGACGATGTCTTCAACCGTCACCAGTTTTGCATTCCCATCAAGGGTTCCCTTGTTCTTGTAAGCCAATATTGATAGCCAAGCAAGAACTGCCCAGATCCCATCTTTCTCACGGATATGATCCGAGCCTGTGGAAAAGCTTCTTTGTGAGCTGTGTAGGGTTGTTACGGATTTAAAACATGTGAAGATCTAGTAATAGAAGCTCACCGGTTCCAAAACTTTCTTCTCCGCATACAGAGCACATCCCAGCATCCATAAGATTGCCAAAAAATTTCCAGCCTGTTGGAACCTGGAATATAAATGTATTAGAGGAATAAACTATGTTACGTAATTGCAATGAATAGAAGCTAGAGAGACGCTGCACAATGATATCCACCTCAAAGAACTTCAAACCCAAGTTTTTTGCAACGACATCAAGGGCAGCTGAGGTGGGCATGCTCCTGAAATACAAATGTGAAAGTTGAGAATTAAATGCGAAAAGACTGTACTATCTATAATAAACAGAAGCATATGACACCAAAGTCCAACTTTTTCAATCTATGACCCGGAACAAACAAAAGAAGAACGGGGATGCATACCTTGCAACACCTTTCAAACCAGAGCTGAAGTATGGAATGGCCCCAACAGCATTTGCAGCAATTATGGCAACTGAATCCGAAGGAGTTACGAAAAACCTGTGGAGAAGAGATAATTTTGGTTAAAGGTGAGAGTGGTATACCCACTCCACATCTCTGTGCTCTCACTTCAAAGAGCTTAGTCTGCTACCTTTTACCAAGGATCATGTTTCGGTCTGCATCACCATCAGCAGCGGCGCCAAACTCTGGAGGCTCTCCTCCGGCACCATCAGTTTTACTCAATCCCATGCGTGCCACAAGCTCCTTAGCATAGGTAAGATTGGGATCCGGATGACCTCCTCCAAAGTCCTCCTGTACATTTTCGTGTTGTAATAAAATCATAAAAGCCATTTTAAGGAATAATATTTCCTGGTTAGACAAAAATGATACCTTGGGTACGCAGTTCAACAACGAACTTTCTTGTGCACCTAGTTCTTCGACAAAGATGCGGTGTGCATAGGCTCCAGCCACTCCATGCAATGCATCATAGCTTCATAGAACGATGGGAAATAAAACAACAAAGACATGATTGAGCCTATACAAGCAAACAAACTCAGAAGAAAAGGTTTATGTATGTTGATGAACTATATACCAGAACGTAAATTTTGGAGACGATAGTAATTTCTTGATGGATTCAAAGTCGAAGATTGACCTGATGAGACAAAAAAAAATTAAGAACAACGAGAGCGCAGATTCTGGAACCATTCACATAGATCAGAGAGAGTGTAGATTCATGAACTGTTGTCTCTCTAAGATACAAAGATGGAAATACTTACTTCATTAATTTAACATAGTCATCTGCGGAATCAAAAACTTCGACGTCAAACTTTCCTTCAGGTCCTTCAAAGCTGGTTATACCAATAGTAGAAATATCAACCTGTGCATTCAATCAAAAAGTCCAGCAAAAAACACATGATTAGTAAAATACAAGATGAAAAAAGATGATGACAAATAAGAGGATCACTCAGAAATGTTAGATACCCTAGGAAGATCTTCCGCTATTGGGTACTCCTTGATTGTCTTTGTGTTCTCGTAAATCTTATCTGTGATTGATTCAGGAGCCGGTCCACCATTTTCCATATTGTACTTAATTCCGAAATCCTGTGAATATAATAGTATGAAATCAGCATATGGAATCAGAGAGATGAATATATAGTTTACTAACCGATGCACAAAAGAGTGAGAACAAGAAGTCAAGAACAGAACTGACCTCAGTTGGGCCACCAGGATTATGACTTGCTGTTAATATAAATGCTCCTGTGGCTTTAGATCCCTGAAATTGGAGATTCCGGTTAGTTTCTCATCACGACATTACATGTTGCAAACATGCATAGCCTTAGATAACAACCCAAGAGAAAAGTAACTAGTATGACTTAAGAGGAAGATATCTCACATCAGCCCCTACTCTTTCACGGATAATAGCTGATACAGCAGGAGTTGATAGCAGACTGTTTTGACCAACCCACACGCGTCTAACACCATTAGCCGCTGCCATCTTAACTATAATCTGTCCAGGTAGGAAACAAAGTTGTATAAACCACTAAAAAGAATGATCATGTGGTATTTACGAACAATCATTTCATGAAAAAAATAGATTCAAAACGTAGTGGAATGTTAGCAGCCGGTCAATCAATGTTAGCCAAATGAACTTGAAAGTAGTGGAAAAGAGCTATTGTCAGTAATAAAATGTTGAGAATATCTTCAAAGAAAAATGTAACCAAGTTCATAAGCTCTAATTCCTCTCCCTCTCTCTACTATGATAGGTAAATGTGAAAACAAAGTGTCTGGAGAGTTATACTCTTTACTATTATGCTTACACAAAACGCAATTTGGCAAAAATCAAAGGACATGTAAAGTACCTGAATAGCTTGCTCTGAATAATAACGACCATCACCAGAGACCACAAGTGTGGCACCTGCACAAGTTAACAAATACTCTTTCTTAGATGGAATTAGCAGTCATCTACCTTTACCTGAATAACAACAATCAAAGCGAGGTAAGAGAGATCTTTTTTTTTTTTTTAGGAGAGATCTTTTACCTTTAACTTTCTCAGGAGTAAGAGCATTGAACGTTGCCTGAACAAAATTTTCAAGGTAATTTGGTTGCTTAAACACTTTCACCTGTCAAATTATGCCACCACAGTATCAGAGAGAACTGAGAGATTCCACATCAGTCTACAAGAAGAAATACACAACACTCGAAGAAACTAAGATAGAATCTGTTTTCTCAACACGTCAGTGCAACGTTTTAACACATTAGCGGCACATATAGTTTCAAAATCTACCAAAATTCGCTAAAACGAAACAATGCGTGAATTCAAATCTCATCGGATCAGATCAAATTGTTAAACCAACATACAAATTCATTCAATCCATAAGATTTACAAAAATCAATTTCGTTGCGATCTGAATCAGAATTCACATCTCTAATCAAATTTCGAAAGAAGAATGTGAGATTGAGATAACAAGAGAAAGAAGAAGCGCAAGCGAACGAACCTTCTTACGGAGTCCAGAAGTTCCAGGTTTCTGGCCATCAATAGGTGAAGTAGAGACAACAGAGACCTTGAACGACACCATTTCAAATCTGAACGAAGCCTGAAGGTGAAAGAGGAAGATGATGCTAAAAGCCTCTTTACACAAGAGTCTGAGGAAGAAGAGAAAGAGGCTAAACGAGAAGGTGACGCGTGTGGCTCGTCTCTTTTTGTCTTTTAGTGGACCTAACTTTACCCAAACCGGTGGTATTAAATTCCCTATAATTAGAACGCTTCTAACGCTATTTTTCCCACTAATTTCAGTTTAATTTACATCAATTTTTTTTTTTTTTTTTTTAACACCTGAAGCTTTATTAGATTGTGTAAGGTTGATACAAATAAGGAATTAGAACAGAAGGAGGAACAGAGTACACATTATATAAAGAGTTCATAGTTATAGCTTGATGAGCCATTTTATCCGCGGCACTGTTTCGTTCTCGGTTAACATGATCTAAAGATGCAAGTGGGAGCTTTGCCATCCAATATCGAATGTCTTGAAGTAGAGTGCCAATCTGCGAATGGTCCTCACACTTGTTAATGATGGAAGTCAGTTCTTTACTATCGCTTTCAAACCAAATTTGACGCATTCCTTGAGACCAAGTTACGTGAAGAACATGTAAGAAACCCAAAGCTTCGGCCTGCAATGCAGAGGTAGAAGAACTAAGTTTTGCACATCCCGAAAGAAGTACTTTCCCATCACTGTTCCTTATCACCCAGCCCGTATTTGTAAAGGATTGCCCTTGCTTGTATCCGCTATCGAAATTACACTTCAGCCAACCAATTGGTGGAGGCGACCATCGGGAGCATTTATCACTGGGAGTAGTCCGTGGTGAAGTACTGTTGCTGTCAACTTCGGAGTTGATATTGGCATCCAACCATTCAGTTGCTTCATTTGTCCCCTTAGTTGCTTCAGATTGTGGAGTTCTTGTTATCTTGCGAAACAGAAAATCATTCCTTGACCGCCATAGTCTCCAAACTATCCAAAAAGGTAACAGACGTTGGGACTGAGAGAGACTTGAAATCGTAGTCCGGAGGAGAAGGCTTCTCATATTGTCTTCAAGGTAGTCCGAGAGATAATGTTGTCCTGTACCATGAACATGTCACCAAACAGCTTTGGCGAAAGGACATGTGAAGAGGATATGATTAATGGTCTCATCTTCCTTACAACAGCGTTGACAAACCGGGTCTGCGGGGATTGTTCTCGTTATAAGTTGTGTTGTAGTCGCTATAGCACCTGATAAACACTTCCAAAGAAAATGACGGATTTTAGGAGTAATATTGAGCTTCCATATTTTCGTCTTAAGGGCAACTGATCCTTTAGGAGGAGTAACAGTTTCGTCATCGTGTAGATTGACATGGGTAGCCACCCAATATCCTGAACGAACGCTGTATCGTGCATTTTTACATCAATTTATATCGAAATACTAGTATCATTTAACAAACAAAAAAAAAAAATTTTGTAAAATATTTATAACTGAAAAATTAATTATAAAGACGTTGAAGACCTTTTAAAAAAAAAAAGTAAAATACCGTTAATGGTCATTGTCAAATTCTACAAGAGAATATTCTTTTATACGTACGAGGCCACAAAAGGAGACCTAGATATGGGGACTACAAGTGATTTTATTCTAATATACAAATGTAACAAATGAATCATAATTTTTTTTTTCCCTCTAATATAACAAATCATACTACAAAACTAAATCACTACCGCAGTCAAAACAAAATTAATTTACTTTTCAAAAGCAAAAATAAATAAATTGTGAACCAAATATTATATATGCAGCTCGCTATTTACAGTGACCTGTGACCAGAGTTTATGTACTTCAATAACTCATATGTCGTTTCCCGTTAGGGTCTGAGCTAGAGCTCTGACCAGCACTTCTAGTGGCATTACTCCGAGTAGTAGTTTTAGAAGATGCGGGGGTACCTCTACCACCTGTTCCGGTGTTTGTGTTCAAGTTCGAACCGAAAGAATCTGTGCTGGAACCAGTGGTCGACAATGTTCCAAGTGATGCTGCTCCTGAAGGACGATGTGTTCGACGACGGTATCTGGATCCCGGGACACCAGGATGATCCGGTTCTTCTAGATGTCCTGGTTTTCTCGAGAGAAGTAGAGATACCCGTCTCATGGGCGGTCTTTGATGCGGATCGCCTTGAACGCAGAGTAGTCCGATCTGTACGCAGAGTTTGACTTGATCCGGCTCAGCTGAACCTACTATATCTGGGTCTAGTATCTCCATGGTCCTGCCTTTCTTGTACAACTTATATGCCTGTGACACATTTAGAAAGAATTTAGTATTGGTTATATTACGCTGAAGAAAATTGGGTTGTTATGGTGGACTGCAAGCCCGTGAGGTCCACAAGATGACCCTTTTTTCATTTTGAGAAATCAGTGCCAGTCCGTCCGGTCCATTTTGAGTCTAAACCAGTCATAGACCGGACGGACCAGGTAAAACCCTTATTGTAGTTTCCAGTTTAATCGTGGGCTGAAATCAGGGTATTAAATCAGCGCGGCTTAAAACGGGGTAGGGGTTAAAACCTGGTCAGGTCGGGCCATCACAAATTTCACAACAACGCTATAAACAATAAAGCATGAGACCAGAGACTAGAGGCTTTACCCATTCAAGAAGAGTCTGGTCAGGGTGTCTCATACTAAAACTCGAGTTCTTCTGTCCACTTACGAGCTCCAGAACCAAAACCCCAAAGCTGAATACGTCTGCCTTTACCGATAGAACCCCGTGCATTACATATTCTGGCGCCATATAACCACTGCGCATAAGAAAAACAAAGAAGCAGTGATTAACACCAACAAAGAAACAGAGTCCAAATGACATTTAATGTAAATTGAGCTTTTAAGGGTTAACAACAAGAAAGCATACTTGGTTCCTGCAACACGAGTATTGACATGTGTTACATCTTCCTGATAGAGTCTAGCCATCCCAAAATCAGCAATCTTAGGAACCCATTTTTCATCCAGCAAAATATTACCAGCCTTAATATCCCTATGGATGATGCAGTTTGGCGCGTCTTCATGTAGATAGAGAAGTCCTCGAGCAATGCCTGTTATGATCTCAAACCTCTGCTTCCAATCTATCTCCGATTTTCTGTTGGATTCTGCATTCAAATGAAGCAACCACCACATGTTAAAATCGTCTTCTTTCATCATCATTTATCCTAACGTACAAACCAATCTCATCGAGAAGATAAACTTACTGAATAGAACCTTGTCGAGGCTCTCGTTTACGACATACTCATAAACCAAGAGTTTATCATCTCCATGAGTACAATAACCCCAAAGATTAACAACATTGCGATGCTGAACTTTAGCCAACAACTTAGCCTCATTCACAAACTCGTTTTTACCTTGCCTTGAAACCTGAGATAACTTCTTCACTGCTATGTCTCTCCCGTCAGGTAATCTTCCCTATTACACACCAATCAATCTCATCAGCCAAACTAACAAAAACACACACAATAATACACTTCAGACAATTTCACAACCACAACCATAAAAATGGAAACTTTAAGCTCTGGGTATGTCAAAATTACCTTGAAGACAGGACCAAATCCACCTTCACCGAGTTTATGGGTCGGGTGAAAATCCTTAGTAGCGGAAACTAAAACTTGAAATGGGAAAACTTTTTGCTCCATAGCTGCAATTCGCTCAATATCATCTTCAAGACCTTTTAAGTCAACGAAGAAAAAGTGAGTCAAACTCACAAAACCTAATCTTTCTACTAGGAACCAGTAAATCAAAGAGATCTTACCTCGATTGGAGTTGCGTTTGAAAGGTTTGATGATATTCTGAAAGAAATTCATGGACTTTGTCATGCCCAAGTTGCTCTTTTGAGAATTATTAGTGACCATCCCATGGGAAGGTAACAACAGAGAGATCAGGGATTTCAACGAAGACCCAGAAAGTAGAATTGAATTGGGGAAGAAGTTGATTTTGATTCGGCGGCGTTAGATTGGGTTAGAGTCAGGTGACGTTTCAGATTGTGATTTAGGGATGATTGAGGAAGAAGGAGAAGAAGAAGCGTGTTTGTGATTTTATTCAAGGAAGAGTTTATGCGAGGAAGGATATAGTCTATATCATATAGATTAGAGACGAAAGTCAAGATGAATTCGTATTTTTAAAAAATAATTCAAGCACAAGTTTAAATAATAGTCAAGTCGTTTTTCAACTTTTTTGGTTTTTTCAACCAACTTCACATTTTTTGTTATTATTTTATGGGTGATGAATCAGGAAAAAAGTGTGATGAAATTTTTAGATCATTAATTAATATTATATTCACTAAAAAGTTTTAGATTGTGTAAGTACTTTATAATTGTTTATTGGAGAAATAGAGCATGTAATTGTAAAATCTTATTTTTTTTATTCAGGAGCTAATATATCTTTTTAGAAGTTAAATTTTATTGAATTGGTTAAGTTTTTTTTTTAACTCAAAACAAATTTTTTGATTAACATTTTCTCTATTGTTATCAGCTACTTTTCTGAATATGTATATGAGATATCTCTGGACGCGCAAACAAGTAGAAAAATATTTGTTTGGTAGAAAAAGACATGCATGTGCAACCTCAGAGAATTTGAGTGGAAAGCTTTTTGTTTCAATGGGCAGATCTCACTAGTAGAGCAATTATCAGGTTAAGACAAACTAAATGAAAAAGAATGTTAGTCTTTTATATATCCGGTAAACAACTAATCACATTTTCTTAATTATTAAACTTTGTACATAATCGCAATCATAAGACTTTGTGTTTTAAGATTTATGTTCAAATGAAATGTTTTCAAGATGAATAAAATGTGGTGGTTGGGGCGTTACAATATATATATTTCTAAAGTTTAAAATGGGAGAATTCATAGATTAAAAGTACAAAAATCATGCTTTTTTAGGACTAACCCAAAACTTATAAGAGTATGGATGACAGAAAATGGGAGAATTTATAGATTAAAAGTACAAAAATCATGTTTTTTTTATGACTAACCCAAAATTTATAAGAGCATGGATGATATATTGATTTTGAATAGGAAGAGATTAAATAACTTAATGAAGGGTTTTCGTTGACGTCTAGCTGTTTGACCATTCAGTTATCATGTTTCATCTACAGGATAGTGTAATTACATGATGGCTAAGACTTTAAACAGCATGTGGTTTTATCCGTCGAGTTATCCAAATTTTGTAAAAATAAATCTAAATATCCATATAATCAAATACAAGAGACTAATAGTTAAGCTAAACAAATACTGTTAAGAGATTCACATAATCATACATGTGGCCTTAAAATATTGTCTAATCAAAAATTATACATGGTGTTAAATATTTTTCTTAGCATTGACGACAAAATTTAACCAAACAATAAAAATATGTAAAACTATTTCGAATGTATCCATTTGTCAACCGACCGACACTAAAGAGGTTTAGGTTTTAGACATCCACAGACCACAAACCAAACCTCGCAGCATATTCAATTAGCAAACCTTTTTACCTTAAATCTTATGCTAAACGCATCATTTTCTTCTAGATTTTTCTTTTCATTGTGATCATTGACTTTTAACCCTATGTATTGTACATGGTTTGGTTGGAGTATGCATTTAGTGTAGTGTTTTCTAATATGGTGACAAAAAATTCAATCTTATATGAGATCACTTGAAGCAAAAATAAAAGTTAAAAGATGACATCACTGATGATGACGTTAAAAAGAAAACCCAAAAAGATACCACTTGGCATAAACAAACATCAGACCCAAGACGCGTTCTTTTGACCTAGTTCGTTCCGTCAAGCTTGGTCACCTTTCCCATTTTTTTTTCTTTAAATAAAAGAACATCTTCGTTGCAAAAATTGATGGTTAATACAAAAATAAGAAAGAATTAAAAATAATAAAATATAATAAGTTTTTCATAGAGTAGGAAAAATCTACAAAAATTTGATAGAGAAAAATAGAAACTTTCATGTGGGTTTCTACTACAATTTGAGAAACCGAAAATATTTTATTATTTTTGTATAATCCATATGAAATATTTGCAATCAAAATATTCTAACTTGGATCCTTTTTAGTATTATTTTAAATGGGGATATGTCTTTAGTCGAGTGTTAAGTCTATTTGACTGCGCTTTCCCACCGGAGTTCGATTCTACTAAGTCGTGTTTGCGTTATTCCGCGTAGTAAAAATTGACTATAGATCGGATTTTATCGATCTAAGAATGTAAAAAAAAGGGATTATTTTAGATACGAGTCATACTATTCGATTAATCAATTCACAAATTCACTTGCCATATAATACCATTATTGTATATTTAAATAGATATTTGGCAATCGGTGTGTTTATATTTCTATAGTGAAAACTAAATGGTTATTGGGTCAATGAAAAAAAACAAAATAAAAATACCAAATCTTTTAAAGTCTTTTACTTTCTAGGGTAGTTGAGTATCCACCGAAAGAAAGTTGCAACAAATGTCAATGAAAACCAATAAATAGTACTTGCAAATTACGCTGCATTTATATTAGATGTATCTGTCCAGTGTCAAACCAATGTATACGTAACCGTAACTAATAACAACTTTACATATAAATGTAACTCACATGAATCTGTAACAGAACTTATATTCATAAATGATAAGATAATGTTCTGGTTTCGTTTATAAACTCGGTTAATTTCATCGGTCGATCGGTCTAATATATTTTTAAAAAATGATTGCAGTTATACTAATCCTTCAAAAATGATCGTAAGGTTAAAAATTTCAATAGCCAGCATGATCAGGGAGATGTCAATATTGATGTTCACCTAAAGTAATAATATTAAACTCAATCTTTACTCGGTCGGAGGTTCGACAACAACTTTTGATTAAGAAAAATGGTAGAATCATTCAATTTTTCAACAACTTTTGATTTAGAAAAATGGTAGAAACATTGAATCTTTATACAATCGAAATAGTACGTGGAATTGTGACTTATAGTTTTACTATGCCGTAAAATAATAAAAAAAGGTTACGTCATTTGGCAAAAAAATTCAACCAAATTAAAGTTATTTTTTTCATTATTTTGTTTAATATTTGCCGCGTAGTATAACCAATGATAGTTGTTGGAGACACTTTGAAAGAGTCGTACGGTACATACAATCTCACACCAAATCAGGCACACGTTTATTTGTCGAATATGATGATGATAAAGACTAAAGAGTAGCCTTCAAGTAACATTTACCAAATGTCATTTTCTTAATTCATTGCCTTTTACACGTGAACAGTAATATGTTTGACTTCTTTGAACTTTTCGGGTCGAGTTTATGCATCCGTTAAGCCCATTTAATCAGGCCATGTATTACACCTGATGGGTCAAATTCAATTGATATATTATATGTACAACTAGGGATCCATGTTGAAATATATGGACCTAATTAGGTTTTATCGATTTTCTTGGTACTTTACTAAAAAGAGTAGGTTTTCTTTTCTTTCTTGACAATGTAAATATTTTATTCAAAATTAGGAATTACATGGCATAAATCATATATATTGATCCACAGCAACAAAAAAAAAAAAAAAAGATAAAAGCATGAAAACAAAAAACAATAAGTCCATCGACATCAATAAAAATAATGACGCTTTCAGAAGCAATAATGATGCTCCTCTGATGACATCTCAAAGAGAAAGATACAAGTTGTCAAACGGCGATTTGTAGATAACCATAACGATTGGAAGTTTTTCACCAGTATACCAAGAATACTGAGCCATCAACGTTATGGAATGTGCATTAGTCATTTTTTCCTTAATATATGCTAACAATGAAAAGAAGCAGATAAATGTTTTCCAGTACATATACTGATACAGAATTGATGAAGTCTTATTTATTTTATGTAAGACTAAGTACATTAACTATATAAACATAGATAAATCAACGTGATAATCTATGCTAAGAAAGTAAAGGAACGTGATAAAATTATACCACTATTGACCCAATAATGTAATGAAACATAGTATAACCGTAGGCATGTAAAGAGTAGAAGTAAATTAAATAGGCAAGCCATAGAGATAGAGGAAGGTTGCGCGCATAATTAAGTGCACATGAGCGTCTCTGAACTTTAAGAAGATCGCCGAAAGTCACATATTTTCGATCTCCATAATTTTATAAATTAAGTACAATCATATACAGTATATACTTTTTTCTTCACCCACTATAAAGGCTTTGCCTTTGGCTTCAGAACAGAATATGTTTATAATATGGTCAGAAATGAATGCGACTCTAAATGATCTAAACTCAAAAGCAACTAACTTTTTGGTGATAATTTGAGCAAACCTTTGTGAATCTATTAACTGTCACATGATATATTTGGGTTAGCTGGCTAGCTAGTTGTCATATAAAACCATATATCTATAAAGATTTTTTTTTCTTTGACTTCATCTATAAAGATTTTATGTTATTTAGTTTAAGAACGTTTAGGATTAGTCCTATGTTTTTTTTAATGAAATTAACAAAATACTAGAGCTAATGTTTAAGGATATGTTTGTGTGTGTTTGTTGTGTTCAAATTCTTATTTTGAACTTGTTTTTGTTTAACGGCAACGTCTTTAATGTATATCAAGTTTGTTGACTTTGTACCAACCAATTTATTCGTTGCTTATTACCAAATCCATTCCAATCTCAAAATAACTTAAACTACAACCTTCTATAAAATAAACCCAAGCAATGTTTTCTCTTGTAACCAAAATTTTTTTTTTTGGTAAAATTGTAACCAAAATTTCTTGGGTCTAGACTCATAATCTTCTCAAACCAAGAACCAAAACATGGTTAACTTGTCTTTTTTTCGTAACCAAGAAATTTCTGACATGTGCTCGAAAATTCTTTAAATCGAAGACCAACAATATGAAATTTATATGAACAAATTCGAGAGTAGTTTTGATATAAGAACAAAAGAAAAAGATTACACATGAAGAGGTTACTTACCCCACCTAAAAGCAATAATTCTAAACTCGCCCACAAATTTTCTAATTGTTCTAAAAAGTCCAAAAAAAAATATGTACATTGGTGTTGGCATCTTTGCTGAAATCATTCCCAGCTCTGCCACAAACATCCAAGAAATTTGACAGCTTGCCTTTGGCAATTTTTTTATACCAAGATCTCACCTTACTAGTACTCAACTACACTACACTACACTACACACACATACACTCATCATTCTACCTTTTTTCTATTACCACCACCACTCATAAAGACAACTCCCAAATATATATAAAAGTGAAATTATACTGACACTTCCCTCTTTCTAAATAAATCTTCAATATAAAAAACAAAACTTATAATAATGAAAAGAACGAAGAAAAGACGAACATTCTGATCTGACACTTTTCCTCAGAGTATATACTTAAAATACTTTTATCTGAGGTTTTTTATGGCGTTTTCTTCTTCATCTAAGACCTTGTCGTTGTTCCTTGCCTCTCAAGCAACATTTCACTTCCATACCTTATCACAAACAAGAAAAACTGAATCTTCTTTAATGTGTGATTATAGACATGGAAATATTCTTCGGTTAACAGAGATAAGTTATATACCTGTATGATTGTTCTTGTTCTTTATGTCACTATGCAAAGAGTGAAGAACTCAAACGCAAAACTCAAAATCCAACTCAAAAACACTCATATGTCTCCATTTTCTTTGACGCGAATAAGATCGATATTCCTTAGATCACGTAAATGTTGTAGAATCTCATGGAGGAGATGTACACCTTTGTCACCTTTTTTCAATGAACCAACACAATGCCTCAAGAACTCTCTATCTGCCTCTAGAGCTTCTAGTCTCTCGTATAGCTCATCCACTTCTTCTTCTATCGTCACAATCGCACCATTCTCTGATTCATCAAACCCGTTTTCGTGATGGTTTCCGTTATCTAACCCGTTTTCCATCTCTCCATCGACCGCATCAAACAGGGGAAGTAGTCTCTTTGACTTGATGACTCTGTGCTTTCCGTTTGTTTCCTTGCAATGAATATGCCCATTTCCATTGATGCTACCATTATTCTCAAACGTTTTAGCTTCCTCCTCCTCGTCCTCTTCGTTATTGAGATCTGTGAGTTTCTCTTCAAGAAACTTCAATCTCCCAAGAATCGAAAGCCTCTCTCCGTCATAATCATCTAAACACTCATCAAGACGAAGAACAACATCAACCGGCGTGTTCTCCATCTCATTCTCTATATATTTCCAATCCGTAACTCCTTCAACATTCTTATGATGTAAATCTCCATTATTATTCTCATCTGAATCGCCATTATTTCTATACGAATCAACAGAGGAATCTCTGATTCTCCTCCTCAACATCCCCATTTTCTCTTTAGCTTCATACTCCTCCATTCTCTTTCTATACACCTCTAACTCCTTCTCGAGCTCGGCGTTCTCCTTCTCTCGATTCACCATAAGCTCATTCAACAACTGCAAGGCTTCTTGATCAAACTCAGCTTGCTCCTCCATCATTCTCTGATACTGCAAAGCTTCCATCTGCATCGCAGCTTTCTCCTCATGCAACCTATTGATCATCGCCATTGTTTCACTCGCAGCAACCGCAGACGCACTCCTCTCTACCTCCAGCTCCTCGTACAACGCGTTAAGTGCTTTTCTCTCTTCTTGTAACTCCAACTTCAACTTATCCACGGTGAGTACTCCTTCAGGACATTCAATACCATCAACGGATACTCTTCGCTCTAAGTGAAACATAGCGTTATGTAGACTATGCGAGCTTTCCACCGATCCTTGAGTTTCTAAAATCCGCTCTTCGTTGACAGTTAAGACGGGCATTCTAGTTTCAATCGTAACTGTTTTGAACTCCAACGTATCCTCCTCTGTTGGAAGAAGTAACGCATATGTTAAAAGTGTTAATTAAAAACAATGTGTTACTTCTTTCTTTTATGTTTCGAAATGTAAGCAAATTACCATGATCATCGTCATCGTCATTGTCATCGTCGTGAGGAATGAGTTGGTGCGAAGTAATATCTCCGATTTGCTCATGATCAGGAATTTCTGTGCCTATAGAAACCTCTGCGTCGTCTGTATCTTCGTCGTCGTTTTGCATTTGCACTAAATCATCTGACGAAGCACCTATAGACAACTCACCAAACTTTAAAATAGAAAGCAAAAAAACAATCACAGAATTTTTCTGTAAAAGCTACGCAAAGATGTACCTAGATTCGTCACCGCATCGTCCGGTTTCGAATCATCCGGCGAAGCAAAGACGGAGATTCCCTCCTCCTCCGCCGTGAAATCAGGCTCAACGCCGAAATCGAGTATAAAATCTCCATTAACATCGGAAATCTCTCGAACTTCTTCGCTCTGTTTGTAGAATTCAACTGGAATCAAATGACAGTCTTCTTCATCGATATAGAACTCAAGGTTTTTAGGCGCTGATTCTGCAGTTTCAACCTCTATAGCCAGATCCACTTTGTTTTCTTCTTCCTTCTCTATTGCAATTTCTTTGCTATTACAGTCGAAACTTGATACATAGCACGAAAACTCCTCATCATCATCATCATCTTCAAGTTTCTCAGGAGATTGGGGAACAATCTCGATTAATGAAGAAACCTTCTTCTCCTCTGTTTCTTCTTCCTGAGAATCATTCAAATTCACAGATCCGAAGATCGATCGAGGAAACTTAAGACCATTGTAAATTTGACCTTCATCACCAATCGGATAATCTAAATTCCCAAAATCAGACTCAATCGGAGCACAACAACAACGACGATGATGAACCAAATCATTGTGAAGTTCTCCGAAACCAGTACTGGATTCTTCAACAGGTTTTGAGTGTGATTTTGAAATCTCGAGAGCATGATCATCGCAGAGAAGATCTTTATGAGAAGGAGATTTACTAGAAGCATCGAAGAAACGATCGAGTCTAGAGCAGAAGAGACAAGGACGTTTAAGACCGAAATAATCAGCGAATCTGAGGATGAAATAAGAGAAGAGAGAGTTGAGAAGAATGAAGAAGATGAGTGACCATTCGAGGAAAGCGTATACGAGAATTAAAGTGATTCGGTTTGTTTTCCGGTGAATCAGTGTGGCGAATTTGTTAGCCGCCATGGACGACGACGAAGAAAGCTTTAGAGAGAGAGAGAGAGAGCGATTATTTACAGAGAGAGAGAATGGAGAAAGGTGTGTGTGGGGGGGACGAAGTTAGGAAGGAGGAGAAAGACTTGTCAGCTTAAGTAAGTTAGCCGGAGAAATCGGACCGACCATTAGAGAGACTTTTTATTATTATTTTATAAGTCTTTTAAGTTGAATTTTATTAATTTGAAAACAACAACAACAACAAAAACACGCATATTTGCTTCAAATTGTAATATATATGGAAAATGGAAATGAAGATAAGAGTCAGAGAACAAAAAAAGGTTAGGATAATAACACATTTATTATGTACTTAATTATTTAAAGGTTAATCGTGTACAGTGTCGTACCAAGATCAATAGAGTTTTAAGGTAAATTTTTAAAATGTGATCTCGCATATTTTATTTTTGAGAGTATAAATTTTTTTTGAATGTAACAATAAAGGATATATTGTTTAATTTTTAAAAATTTCATTAAAAACGAGATTTAGTAGTTAATGTAAAGAAAAAACAAACAAAAAATTTCCATAAATATTAATGATATGAGTTTTGTTTCCACAAAACAAAAATCCTACAACATTCAACAAAAATAATTTTCTTATCTGATTTAGAAAAAATATAGCTTCTTTTTTTTGTTGCCTAAAGCAAATGTTACGGCTCTGCTGGTATTATATAATTTTTTGATGGAAAACGTAATTTTTTTTATTTTGGATTTTAGTATATACTAAAATAAGAAATTACTAGTAAAAATGTAATTGGAAAAATGGTTGACCAAGATATTAATGTTTTTATTCAAAGTTTTGGATTGAATCTCACTAGAGATAGTACAACTTGATCTGATTACCGTTACAAATTTTTTTGGAGGTTTTTAATCTGCTGCAAATTAATCCATATAGCCTTCTTATTTTAGAGTATAACTTTTTCATTTGTGTTTATATTTTCATCAATTATTTTATAAAAATAAACAGTAAACATACTTTTTAATCAAATATATATAGAAACGTTAAATGTTTTTTCTAGGGTAAAAATCTATCAATCCTTTTGATATATATAAGATGTCGCTGGTGGATTAGTGAAGAGAAAAAAAAAAGCTACTGATTTGTGATTTTATTTTGTCGTCAAGCCAGTGATTTATGATTAAACATTACTCGTGACGCAATCATACTGTTGAATTTTAATTTTAATTTTGTTTAGCTTTTTCAGCAAAAGAAACAGTAGTTAATAAGTAGAAATATTTTAAAGAAATAAAGAAACCTTGCCACGTGGTTTAAATGACCCCGCCACACTGCCTTTAACTTTGGAGGAAAAATAGAGTGGGCCAATATCTGTGACCCACATGCGCGTAAAATTGGCCCACACATGTTAAACACCGGAATTCACATATTTTCAGTTTTTCACATAACCAACGATTTTATCTAATGGATTTCTATTGATACATGAATATTTTAGAAATAGTTAAAAACAATAGGGGAAAAAAATAACTGTACAATAGTGGAAAATAAATAAATAATTTTTTTGATATTGCTAGTTTGTAGCACTTTTATAAGGATGGATATATAGAAGAAACTATATAAAAGTAAAAAAAAATAAATATACATATTCCATTATGTTGTCGTACAATGAATTGAAAATCGTTTAATCAAAAGTAGGTAACAAAATTTCCTTTAGTTTCCTTTTATTAAACACACCTTTACTTCTTTCATTTTATTGACCAAGTTAACTAGGCCCGTAAGGAGAACCAAAAAAAGAAAGGACAAGACCTTGTTTGTTACAGCTTAATAAAGGAGACCACAGTTAAAATAAGGAAAAGGAGGTTCTTAAGAAAAAAAATATTCTTGTTTTGTTTTTTTTGATAACTAATATCTTTTGTTTTACTAATTAAAACACTTCTACTAAAAACATGGTTGATAAAGAATTCGGGGGTATCAAATTTTAAAAGGAGACATCATTCATAAACAATTACATATGTAACGTGTGTAGTGTAAACAAGGTAATAGATATTCGAAATTAGCAAATAAAATAAAGAAATTTTGATTGAAAAAATAAAGAGTTAATGGACCAGTCTAACATTAAGTGCCACTTTTTTTTAAAATTCAAATCAAAACCGAATTCATTTTAATTAGACCGTGTCCATTTCTATAAAATATTGACGGGACATTTCAAAATTGTGATGAATGTTTTATTATATTATTATTCTGTTCTTTAGCCGAATGGTTCACATTGACATCATAGGGACATACAAATATTGACTTTTTCGAAAACAGATTACAATAAATGTATATAAGTCTTTTTTTGAACTCGTGGCCTTGTCAAATTATATTTTGCGTGTTTGCGAAGAGATAATCATCACTAAATTGTATGTAAAATATCTAAGTAATTAATATTCAAACGGGCCAGTATATCCACTTATGACTTAAACTTATATCTCAGAATTTAATTAATATTATTCAAGGTATGAACCATATCATTTATCAAATATTCGACTACATACATAGATATATTGGGAACTACTGCGTTAGGATCTTGTTATTTCGATTTTTGTTTTAGCAACAAAATAATTTATGTGAATGAAAAGAGCCATGTGGTGTTGGGCGTGGCTCATACAAAGTTTAATGACAGGTCACTCCCACCTCACTGTTTTGCCTAATAATTTACTACTTAATTATAGTATAGAATCTTTCCAAATTTTTGTTAATTTAGAGAACATTAATATTTCTAGAAGTTTTCAGATTTCTAAGCTAAATATTGGTATGTGCATGCATCTATAGTTCTATACAGTTAAACTTTCACATCATTTCTTGATCGTTTGTTGATTTAGAATTAAACAGGTTGATAATGTGAAACGCTCCTCCTAATTAAGCATATATATTTCATGGAAATCGACATATAAATTTGATTAATTAAAAACAAAATTGAAGTACTATTAGTCTATTACAAAGTTTATTAATACTAAGTACTTATTTGATTTTATCATAGAAAACAAGAAAGGAGAAGCGACCTCAATGATTAACATTCGTCGGCTGAATCAATAACGAGACTTTAAAATAAAAAAAATGGTGGTGGGGTTTGCAGTCTAAGCTTTTAGGTTAAGCCTTTAACATGTGATTAACTTTCCACACCAATGGCTCTCCAAAATCCCGGAAAAGAAGAAAATTATTTCGAAACTCACTTTGGATTCTAAGAAATGTTAAAACTTAGAATAACTCGCTAGTCACTTCCATGAAAAAAGTTGTACGTGGTAACACTTTATTTGAAATTGAGAAACAATTTAATTGTAAGAGTATTTTGCAAAAACAAGAATGATAACATTATATATATATATATGGTTTACTTTTGTAAAGAATTCATACGTCTAATTTATTAAATGATAGTTAGAATTAATGATTTAGATATATGGTTTATTTTTGTAAGATCATATGCAAGGGGGGAACTTTTGAGTGTGTTCTTAGGATTTAAAAATAGGAAATAAGGTGAACAGTGGTAGAACAGTTCTAACTTATCCTGCAAACTGTTCTTCCTGAAGAACAGTTTTTATAATTTTAAGAACAGTTGTATCCACTATTCAACATTTTTATTATTTTAAAACCCTTAAGAACACACCAAGTGTTCCCCCCTTGCATATGCTCTAAGGCGACATGCATGAGATAAACCACAATTTCGTAACAATTAAATAAAAAACATATAAACAAATTCATAAATGATAACTATTTGATGACAATAAATCACACATCATTACACTATTTTTTAATTACATATTCATTATTGCTAGTTACATAACAAGTTCTAATTCCAAATAAAATTATACCTAAAACTAGAGATTATTATTATATATATAGCTTTTTTTTTCTAATTATACCACCAATTATAAAAGTTTTATGTAAACCCGAATTTTGATATTAGAGATCTGTAGCAATGAGTCTTACAAACAAAATTAGATTGTCTAACTTGTTTTTTTTTATAATGAGTAAAACTGGTGAGAGAAATGATGGTGAATTGAGAGCTGTTGTAGAGAGGTGGGGGATCCAGTGGCCCCTATTTTATTCCTTACTAAAAAGTGAAAAACCATTATATAATTCTCTAATTAATTTTGCAATTAATAGAATAATCTTTAGAGTAAATCTCAAAAGATGTTATTTTGACTAACTTTAGGGGTACTTCATACACATTTTTGTACAGAGGGATAGTATCATGCAATTCTAAAAAAAGTTACAAAAATAATGTAATAGTGAAACAAAGCATGTTGTGTGTTATGGGAGATTCATGTCTTGTTATCCGTTTCAACATTTCTGCAAGAGGGAACATTGGAATGTCTTTGTCAGTGTCTCTACTGTGAAGAACATTAAGGGACAGTAGTTTTTGTAACATACCACACACCCATCAAGGTTTCTCTTTATGTAATGAAATGATGATCAGTCTATATCTTATAAGCAAGCAAGCTAAATCTCACAATAGGCTACTGTGAAATCACAACAAAAACCCACTTTCTCTGTATCAAGTTTCAACAGTTTCTCCCTAATTGAACAGAATCAAATCATTATGCCAATTTCATTCTATCTACAACAAAGCAAATCATTATACAAGTTATGCTCACTTGCTCAGTCATTATTCAGCTAGCTTTCTATTGAAGAAGAATTATAATCGAAAATCGAAAATGCTGTTTCTTTGTGTGTTCAAAGAATTTTAGCCTCTATATGCCAAGATAAAACACTATATGCCAAAATCATCCTTGTGGAATTTGGAATGAGATTATTTGTTTTTTTTAAATTTCATTTTCTTGTAATAAAACATTATATGCCAAAATCAAACCTGGGACCTCCTAATGACACGTGGAATTTATGTGATTCAGACAAAAGCAATCCTAGAACTCTCTGCCATTAGAACCAATCTCAAGAGATAAGGAAACTTCACAGTTTCAAAAAAAAAAAAGAAGAACAGACAGAAACATAGAGATGAGCCGTTGCGGCTCTCTTGGGCTATATGCCCCGAATGCTTTGCCATCTCTCTCATTGAAGCCTCGCTGTGTGAAATCTCCTCTCTGTGTTACATCTTACTCCAAACCAAACGATACTCTTCTTCATGTAAGACTTCTCTAACTTAGTTAAGAATAGAGTCATCAACAAGAGCAGAGAA